GCTATGTCACAGATTTTGGCTCGTTGAAATATAACTGAAAATCGAAAAAAGTAATGCATTCATCTCTTTTATTTTCTGAAATATTACCGATTGAATTCTGTCAAAATAGGTGAACATTTGTATAGAAAGCGTTTAAAATCGGCGGCATCGTTCTTTAGTTAAAATCATCAAATCTCCAATTTCTAGTATTTAGATTTTTCTTAAAAAATCATATGTTGCTGATACATAAATTTTCGTTTAATTGATGTAAAATAATAATAGGGCCACCGACTACGTTTTACGCTATGCACATCAAAGTGGTGTTCTAGGTGAACAAAATACCACAAAAAGTTGAAATAAGCGTAACGGTATCGCGTTATAAGCCGTAAAACGTCGATTTTTGACGTTTTTCACTACCAATTAGGTTACAGATTGGTCAAAATCGATGACCCTATCATTATTTTATATCATTAAAACGGAAATTTCGGCCACGTTGACTTACTAGTATTTGTTTATCTTTCCTTGTTGATTATTTTTGATTTTTTTAAAGTGTAACTATTTTATATAGTTTTCAAAATTAGATGTAGAACACTAAAAATGTGTAAATATCGTCATTAAAGGGCAATAAATCCAATAAGGAGTCCAATGACAATTTCAACCATTTGACTTAATTGTATATCTTGTTCTGTTGATCATTTGCTTTTTGAAATTTATCTCTCTCTCTTAAGTGCAATAACTCCTATAAGACGTCGTTTGACAATATTTATGCAACTAGACAATAGTTAGATCTCATCAATCTGAGCATTTCTACCCTGAAAATTTTCTCTATCTATATCGGTTTTCAAGATAGTAGACAAACTTTGCATTTTATCACTATGTTCTAATTCTAGCCATGTCGGCCTTGTTGGTTGGCAGGTGGGGTCATCGGACACATTTTTGAAACTGCTTACCCTTACGATGGTTGTGGCCAAGTTTGTTTGAATCTGCCGCACCAGTTCAGAAGAGAAGATTTTTGTAAAATTTAACGAGGACGACGGAGGCCAATGTGAGAAAACCACTTGGTCTATTGGCCCAGGTGAGCCAAAAAGGAATTGAAACATGTAAAACTTACTTCTGGGATCATTTTTATTTAATTCCATTGCAAGCAACATCGACACAAATGTCCATTTCGATCTCCGTTGCTGTTCAAAAGACGTAGCAATTTTGATTGTGATGTCACACACATGCACTCCATGTTCTACTGGAATTAGAACATAGATATAAGAAGATGTGGTATGAGTGCCAATGAGACAACTCTCCATCCAAGTCAAAATTTATAAAAGTAAAGCATTATAGGTCACAGTACGGTCTTCAACACGGAGCCTTGGCTCACACCGAACAGTAAGCTATAAAGGGCCCCAAAAAATTACTAGTGTGAAACCATTCAAACGAGAAAACCAACGGTCTAATCTATATAAAAAACGAGAAACGAGAAACACTTATGAACCACGTCAACAAACGACAACTACTGAACATCCGATTCCTGACTTAGGACAGGTGCAAACAAATGCAGCGGGTTTAAACGTTTTAATGGTACCAAACCTTCACCCTTTTTCTGAAACAATAGTGTAACATCACAACATAGAAAGACACACTATAAAATGGCTGATTTGCTTACAAAGCGAAAGAAGAGCGTCATATTAGAAACCGCATTAGAACACGATGAGATAGGAATACTTGAAATACATTTTAAATGATTACAAAAATTTAGATAACCATATCACATATTTTGATTGGTAGTACATGTACTACACATCCAGTCTATATGTTGATTATCGGGTATATTTCCAAAGAGTAAAAAGAAGTCATTATTGATTAACTGGACAATTACTTTTTTTACAGAAAGCTTTAGCTAGGTAGAAACATGTTTACACTATTCAAATGTATGGACATCGACAATCTGAGAATACATATTTAAGAATGCACAGGCCCATCCTTCTGATGAATATTGAACCCCCTCCCCTTAATTGACAGAAGAATCAGAGCATATGAACTTTGTGGAAAGGTACAAAATTAGATAACTGGCACACACAATTAGATCGATATCTATAAAAAAATTCAAGACTTCAAAATTCTGTGTTTTATACGCCCGTTTACTGGACGTATTATATTATACCGTTGTCATTATGTCTCTCCGTCCATCCGTTCGTCGTCAACACTTTGGACAATACCTCAAAAAAACGGCTTTCACCAATTTTCATGAAACTTTGGTGACTTGTTATTATCTATTGATGTAAGCTCCCTTTCAATTTTTATGAATTTTAGATTTTACGTTTCCGAGTTACGGGATTTTATTCATAAATAAATGGGGGATTTTCCAGTTTTCTGACTATAACTCAAAAATGCTTTGATTAATTTTCATGAAACTTTGGTGAATTGTTTATATCTATTGACGTAAGCTTCCTTTCGTTCGATTTTTATAAAAAATTTAGATTTTATGTTTCCGAGTATGGGGATTTTATTCATAAAAAATGGGGGATTTTCCAGTTTTCTGACTAAAACTCAAAAATGCTTTGAGTAATTTTCATGAATCTTTGGTGCATTGTTTATATATATTGACATAAGTTGACTTTCGATTTAAAAAAAATCCTGATTTTACGTTTTGGAGTATTAGGACTTTGTTCATAATAAAGGGGGAATTTTCCATTTTCGGCCAAAAACTCAAAAACGCTGGGAGCAATTTTCCTGAAACTTTGGTGACTTATTTATATCTATTGAAATAAACTAACTTTTGTTTTTGTTTTTTTAAATAAATTTCTGATATGACATTGCGGAGTTATGGAACTATATTCTTTGAAAAATCGTTGAAAACTGTTCATTTTTCACACTTTGGAGGGTTATAGAATTTTATTCGTTCAAAAATCGGAGCCACAATCTTAGTTCAATTTGAGGTCTTAATAGTGCCAAATTATTCATGATTTGTGTCAATGGGCATCACTGTGTGTGCATGTCTTTTTTTCTTTTTCTTTTGGAAAAGAGGGGAGGGGTCTATTTGAGCATTGCTCACAGTATTTCTAATTGATCATATAAATTCATTTAAAGCTTAAAGACGAGCTTAAAGGCCGACGGTCGTATCATGCGATCATGGTGCAGCTCTTTATCAATAGTGTCTCATTGATATTAACATGAAATCCCCGTTTTCATATGTTTAAAAGTGACCACGATTGTGAAAGATAGATACATGTATAACGTTGAAATAAAGATGTGGTAGTGTATACTGAAAAAGGTTAAAGAGTCTCTGGGTACATCATGTGAATGTATATATTGTTTGTACGCGATATAACTAAACATGGAGTACCCAAACAACTTCACATTGATACGTAACTAATAAACATGCCTGCTGATAACGGACATCTTCATCAGATCACTTGTACTGACAGGGACAATGAATAAATTCGTGATTTTAATTATTACATCTTTTGTTTCAAGGTATGTTAAATATAGTTAACTATAATAACTGTTATTAATTGTTCTCAATTAAAGAGCCTGATTGCATTGTAATTTATTGGAGCGATTGGTTTAGAAAAAATTTAAAGTTTATAGGATTTGCCGTTAGTATGAGATAATTCAACGCGTTGAATTCGAATCAAAGTACAAAAAAATACATCAAAAAGGAAAGGAAATTAAAATAACCTCAAATGCATAAACGGTAATAAAATACAAATTTGCGCATTAGGCAAATACGCTAATGACCATCATATTAGCTCATGTTATCAGAAACTTCTAAATAATTTTGATCACGCATTCCTTTATCACCCTTTATGCGTCTTACCGTCAAAATGTTCCATGAATGCCACCAAGGAATTGTGGTTGTTATTCAATCCAGTAGTAACTTAGGATTGGATTTAAAAGGGGGATATTGTTTGTGTTCCATATACCAGTTGCAGTATCGTCTATCCTTTACCATGAAAACTGTTTGTTTTTATTTGAAAAAAATGATGAGATTTTAAAAGCGCAATCAAAATCCAAAAGATTAAACAAAAAAACAAAAAAACAGACGACACTGTATAGTAAAAACAAAAAACCAACCCTGCACGTGCTCCACTTATGACACCGTCATGTTACTACCGTTAACAATAGTCTTTTAACACACCATACGAACACGGACTGGTAAATTTTTCTTGTCTAACCCGAAGACAACCAAGTTTATAAACTTTTGCTTCATGTAGATTCTCTGACCCTAAAACGTGACCAAATGTGACAGTATGTCACTATTCTGAAATTAAACATCTTTAATACAGTTGTCTTGAAGATAAAATGCATTCATACATTTTTTTAAAATTTTAGTATCACATGTTTATCATGTGACTGTGACTATCAACACAGAGACACTTATTGTGGACCAGTACCAACCTGTCCTACGACTAGCACTCTCGTTCTGGATCCATGTGGATGTTGCCAAATTTGTTCCAAGGTTTATACATTATTTTAGTTAATGCATTAACAAAGCATTTTTATAGAATGTATTAAATTATCTTAACCAAAGTGCTTCTGACTGTCTTACATGTAAATGTTAGTAATCTCGCGGTCTGGTATAACACAAATGTCCTCAGTTGTTCAGGTACTTAATTCAGCTTCTATTGTCAAGTTTTATTTTGATAGTGGTCAATTGGGTTACTTTCAGTCTTACAGCGTTATTGTCACATAATGTTGTGTTGTCATTCATAGGTGAAGAAACGGGCGTTTAAGCTCCTTTCCAAAATCCTGAGCCGAAAATTTCAAAAGTTAGTAATAAATCTCAGTATACTCCTTAATAGCCAATAGAATTTCACACTTAGCACACAAAAGTACCTTCCGCCACCATTGTGGCAATATTCGGAATTTTTAGCTATGTGAGTACGCAGCAATCTCAGTATTTGACTAGAAGGCCTTTCCGTTTTTATATATAAGTTTGTGAAGTATTGATTCTTGATAATCAATTCCATGAAAATTATGAACTGTGAGATTAAGAGTTCAGCACTTATTTTAGATTGAGGGAGAGGAATGTGGTGGACCTTGGCAGATATATGGAAAATGTACCTTTGGACTAAGTTGCCAGGCCTCAGTTCCCACTGATTATTTAGGTGCAGGTGGCAACTTCGGAAATCACCACGAACCAAAAGGAGTATGCAGAAAACCAGGCGGTATATTCATACGGTCTTATTATATTTCATAATGTATTATTTTTAACTGTTGCCCAGTCTTTTGTTTTCTATGTAGTGTTTTAAATACCGTCACGGGTTGTTTGTCTTTTCGTCGTTTTTTCCTTTTTTGCCATTGTGTTGTCGGTATCCCTTCAACCTTTGAACTTATGATTTTTTTTAAAATTAATGTTTAAATCATACTCAGCCTTAAAGTCTATGAAGTCGATCTACATGCTTCTCCAGTCATCAACTTATTCAATTAGGGGATATAGGCCTTATGTAACTGCAAAATTTTTCTCTCGTTTATTTTTTCTTATATTTTTACGATTGAAAGGGCAGGCGGACATCATCTGCCAAAGTCTTGTTGAAATTCACCGTTGCATTTTATATCTAAAGTATAATATTGAAAATGACCAGTTTTGTGGTACCTATAAAATGGTCTGAAACCCTAGTAGATATATATTATTTTTTGTTTTTTCTCATATTCTCAATAGGAATATCCATAACTGTCAGAATACGTAGTAGAAACGTAGTTTAATATAAGTCTGAAATATCATGGTAATTATGTATGATAGCCTGGATGTTAATTAATGGTTTAAAATTATTTGAGCAATTCGAAAATTCTTGGACTCACAGATTACTAATTCAATATTTGAAACTATACCAGAAAAAAATATCGTTCAATTCCTGCAAAAATATTGCTGAAACAATTTTTGTGTATTAACTTTGAAAATCTCATACTTTAATGGAATTTCACCGTTTGAAATTAACACAATGTTACGGACTTTTGGTAAAAATTTATATTTTTTCTTTGAAACCTACGACAGTCTCTCTTTGCATTATCTTTTTGTGCCTTAGTGGGAATTGTGTGGTCCCAATAATAAATGTAGACAAGTTTAAGGAAAATTATTAAAATATTCAGTATGGGACGATTACGTTAGAACTGAACGCGCGTCTGGTGTTGTGAAATTGTAAGCGAAGAATCTTTGATAACCTTTTTTAACACTGAAACGTGATTGAACATATTTGTATTTACCGAAACATCAGAACACAAATAAAAATTAACCAATGTTAAAATTGATCAAAAGCACTGTTTATGCCTAAAATAAAAAGTGAACATTTTAGATCGATAAATATAACATCAGTGAATAACAAAAAGAAGACCAAAATATTTTAATAAAAAAAGTTTTGTACATAACATGATTATATTCATAAAACAGATATACAATGCGTTTTATATTTCATAAGAAATCTATTCTTATTTATTAAATCATATGATGATATCTTGAACAGAAGTTTTGCAAGGAAGTCGGCCATGTTTTGTTGCTCTCAAGAAGTACCAAACTGAAATACATCTCAGAGGCAAACGACAAGCGAAGAGAGCGGTTACAAACGGACAGTCATTGACCACTTTAAAACAAATGATCTTGGTACATGCAACGAAACCAACCCATAATAACACAACGCCTTTACTGATCTCCCTTGCCAAAACAACGGCGAATAAATCCAGCAATGGTGGATCCTCACCAAATTCCACAACATTAATGACATTTTTATCACAAATTACAACAGATTCACCATTGAATATAACAACTGCATCATTAAAAATGACACAAAATGACACTATTACTACACCACAATCTGGAACTTCAGATCAAATTACCGATGATCAATCAACAGTTACTACCTCGTATACTTCAACTGAACCAATCACTACAGGAGACACTTCTTTCACCAGTGAATCGTCATCCGAGACCACAACCTTTACTGCGGTATCAACAACAGACACCGATTTTACAAGTGAGGCATTAACCACGACGCCTGATACATCTACAGAGGTATTAACGACGCCGACAGTCCCGACGACAACTCCGTGTCCAATCAAGCCAAGGTGTACACCAGAAGGTAAATTAATACTTTATCCTTACTGCAATTTTCTTCTAAATAGTTAAGGTTTTTGTGTTGTTTTGTACTGTATATGGTTTTTGTATACTCAAGATTATTCAGGATCGATCAATGAGTTTTTTAAATTGAGGTTGTCTTGTGTTTGCTTAATTTTTTTGTGATTTTTCAATGTCTGTATTGTTTCTATTTGTCACAATTTTTCTAATCTCTGTCTTGAAAACTATTCAAATTTTTATTCCAAACGTTCACATTTTTCAATTATTTAGAGTATAATCATGGACTATAGCTTACCGGATTTTAACATGAGCAACATGATGGTGTCATAAATGGAACAGAAACTGAGTTCACTTTCTGTATTTGTTTAGGGGGTGTTAGTGGGGTTCGTGTTGCTCAATCTTACCTTTCTGTGTACGGTTTTGTTGATAGTTTTTATTCTATTTATAATACATGGCAGGGTCTTTCTTCGTCCAATGATGTGAAACTAACCCTTGGTATCCTGTCCCCTTTTATTGTAATGAAGAGTCAAATAGAAAAAGAGAAGTACCACATAGATGGTCTCTGTGCAGTCTATGTTTTGTACGCACGTTAACAGTCTTTACTTTCAGACGTCATAAAAAAGCATCGAGTAAGAAGGAAAAAAAAATAACAATCTCGCCCCTACCCTGCTAACGACTCGCGGTCAGAAGAATTTCTTCCCGTCGACAAGCTTGATATTCGATTTCACTTCTGAATGTTTTTGTATTACAATTCTTATATCTATAACATTTTAATATAAACATTGTAATTTTTGTGTTTCAGGTTGGTTTGCTCCTACACAATGTGACCCTTGCGTTGGGGAATGTTGGTGTGTTTATTATTCAAATGGGCAAGAGGTTCCAAACACACGAAAACAAGGACGAGTGAGGTGCACCTAGTCGCTCCCTAGCTTTTTAGATTTAAACAATGAAATGCTATATCAATCATTACTAGGACTGTGGTACTTGATATGAATAACATGGCCCGAGAACAGTTATTTCGTAGTGCATTTCTTTTAGACAATAAATTCAAACTAAAAAAATCGCACCTGCTCTATCTCAAAAAGATTTTTACAGTGTAGTGTACTACTATTGGGACAAGTAATATCAAAATTATAGAAAAGTCTAACAGCTCTAACTCAAAATATTGACAATTCTATGTTAAGGGGGTCTAAAATTCAGTTTGACAGCTTCAGACATACTAGTTTTTTACCTTTTTTAACTGGACCAAATCACTACTTAACATAAAGATTTAGCACCCAAATTTTTTAAACATGTAATTTTATCCCCTTACTTAATATTTCATGTATAAAATATAAAGAAATAAATTTGGAAAGTGTATGAAAAAAATTTTCAAGTTATACACTGTCCACACTAGGGACCTTCAAAATAACTGCTCACTTAAAAAACTTAATTTCCGTGACTTTTCTATCAGAAGAACTCTTCCAGGCATGACATCTTATAGCAGATGGCTATCTTATTAGTACTACTTAAAATGAGAAAATTACAATGGCAAAATCGATACTATCTTTTCACAATGTAGTCCCCCTTTCTTCACTCTAAATTTCCATGTGCTCGTTAAGGGCGCATTACATTTGCGCGCATTTGGGGATTAAAGTTTTATACGTTTGCGCGAAGCTTTTAATTACATTTGCGCGCATTCATTTTACAGATAACACAGGTAAAATAAAGATAATTCATTATGAATTCTAAAAAAAATACAGCTTAAGACATACATGCAACTTAATTGCGTCAAGGTACATACGTGGAGTTTAGTTTTTCAGAAACGAATCAGGGGAAAATCATTAGTGTACAATAGATTTACTGTCAGTATCGACAGAACACTTAAGTCGGGGATATTGCATGGCGATGCACCATAAATAATTGCAAGAAATTATATTCAGCACATCCATGTATTTTTGTGAACGTTCCGACATGTAAAATCAGTACTTTTAATCTTTAGATTAAGTTTTACATTTTCATCTGTATATGTGTCCAGGACTAAGTGTTTGTGCACAATAAATACGGTCTTATCCTGCTCGAAAATAATAGTTAAATAAATGAATAAGTATAATCGACCTGTATTTACCGGAGTTTCTCTGTAAAAGAATGCGCGCAAATGTAATCAAAAGCTGCGCGCAAACGTTATGATTTTTGCCCGCAAATGTAATGGTAATGTGCGCAAATGTAATGCACTGCTCGTTAAAGGGCAAGAAGAATGTAAATATCATTCGTCCAGCAGCATGCAAAAGATTGTTGTTGACACTAATCTCAGAGCTATGTGACATTCAGTCAAACCTGTCTTTACAGACATTCTGTTTAGCAAATTATTGTCAGAAGCCAGTGCATATGTCCCAATCTTGATTCTTACGTATAAATTCAACCTCTGTATGAGAGAAACCTGATTATAAAGGTCATATATTGTCTTCCCACTGGTACCCTTTTAAAAAGTTTTGACTGTGTATGCAATCAAACAATCAGAACAGCTTGTTCGTTTCTCTTAAAGGGACATGATTAGTAAATTCTGCATCCTACGAACATGAAAACTAATCAGCGGAACTGAATCATAGTTGATACATATAGGGAGAAAACATGAACAAAATAATGTTATCATAGGTTAATCAATTATGTATTATACAGTCAATTATCAAAACGCATTTTTACTACCCTCTATTTAAAAAAATCCAGCAAAACTTTGAAACATTTCAGTTTTTAAATGGTAGTATATAAAGTATCTTCAAGAATATGCAATAACATAAAACATCAAAACCTGCTTTATTAAATTTGTTTCCGAAAGTAATTTATTAAGGAAAACTAAATGACATTCGATTCCGTTTTTCAAATAATTAAAAGAAATCAATCGTAATACTTTAAAAATTGCTTATTCTTCTTTTCATCATGTAGTTGTTATAAATAGAGCTTAATGGTAGTGTAAAATTGAGAATGGAAACGGGGAATGTGTCAAAGAGACAACAACCCGATCAAAGAGCACAAAACAGCCCAAGGCACCAATGGGTCTTCAATACAGCGAGAAAATAACGCACCCGGGGGCGGGCTTCAGCTGCCCCCTAAACAATAATGTATACTAGTTCAGCGAAAATTGACGTCACACTAAACTCCGAAACATAAAAGAACCAAAATTAAAAAAAAAGTATACAAGACTAACAAAGGCCCGAGGTTAGCCAAAGACATGACTTTATAAGTAATGAAATTTTCAAGATAAATAGACACAAATATAAATAAAACACCAAAACAATTAGTCAGTAATAACAGAAACTACATCATTATGAATTTATGAATATACAGATATTCAGAATAAAACAGTTTTACACTTTTCAACATCATGCTTTAGGAAGAGTGTAAAGAAACTCCGAACGAGCAGGACTGTCTATCCAATCACAATCTTCGTGCATGTGAAATGGTTTGCCACGTGGTATTGTCATAATCATCCCCATTTCTGTACTTCCACCTACAATTTTACAAAATACAATAAAAAATCTGAGCTAAAAATATTAGCGTACATGGTCTTCGTATGAGCTTTTGATTTTGTCATTTGATAAGGGACTTTCCGTCTTTGAATTTTCAAGTTCGGTATTTTTGTTATTTTACTTGTTCCTTTCTTACTTTCTTAAAGCGTTATATCTAATATAGTGTTTGCTCTTGGTCTAAAGAAAAAATACGTTATTCATAGCAATATTTTAAAATGCTTGTGGGTTTCTATGGTGATATGTTTTCGTTTTTGTGTGCTCGTTGGAGTAACTTATTATGTGTTCTATCTTATACTTACTATTCATCCGGGCGATTTCAAAATCATAGAAAGGATCGTTACGTAATGATTTAATACGAAGGCACAATATTCCATCCTGACCTGATGTTATGGTAATAGCTCTGAAATGATTTAAGCCAACGATATCATGTTGAAATGAATTGATCCAATCACAATAAATTATAAAACACACCCGGAAGATTCGACATATACTGACTGACTAAAAACGCAACACTCATTTTGTTGCTTTTTTTTCCACATCATGATTGATTCTCATACAACTACTTTTAATGCTTACCATACTTCTTTCTCGTAAGAAAAAATCAACATCTGACTTACCTGTGGTTATTGAACATACCGGATATTTGAATTTCTTAAAGCGAAATATGGAACCCATAAAAATTTGTTTCAGTTTGTTTTGCTTCGTGAAACAGTTCTTTCAATCCTTGGCCACACTAATATCAGTTAAAAAATGTTGCATATCCATATTTCCAAGACTGAGGAATAAAAAACTGAATCAGCCCATAAGAATACTGCAAACAGGAAAACGTGAACGTGCTGCAACCACACAGTTTTACTTCAGAAACTCGTCTTACTGTCCTTCCGACAACGATACAGGTAGACGGGATTTGTTACTGACCATCAATGACCAGATCAACATGTAGTGACAATGCAACGTCAATAGAATTTAAATACGCAACGTCATTTGCGAGACATGTTTACGGTCGCAACGTCAACTGCATATCAAATTGCCGAATGCCATTGCGCACAGATTCATGCCATAAACGTTTCCCATAAACTGAACTGCCAAAGAATCGACTGAAGAAAAACATTTAAAGCCCTGAAGTTTCCACCGCATAATTGCCAAAACCCATTGTAATGGGTGGAACAAACGCATATTCAGAAGGTGTAAAACAGAACCCAAAACATGTGGAACAGAATTGGTTGATCTTTCTGACAATCATTTTGGCGTTTGTTATAGGCAGTCATTGCTTTTGACGATGCCACATTCATTCAAAAATTTAAAAAGAATAATCTAGTGTTGCGTTTCTAAAGTCGGTCAGTATACTAGTAGTACAAATATTTTTTCAGAGCAAATGACAAGAAATCGTGTACATACTTTTATTCGCGATAAAATAATATTAGACAAACATAACATTATAGTATCTATACGAATTTAATTGTACTTTTAATGTAAATTATTAAGTCAGGGATTTCGTTACCACAAATTGCTTAAAACCTTTACTAAATTCTTCCATAGATACAAAGATTTGGTTTGCCAGTTTGGCTGTACTTGTAGAAAAAATTTATTTCAAACGGAATAGCACACCCTAATTTTTACGGGAATGTTTAGATACGATCCGGGTAAACTTGTCAATTATTCTAAAAGGTTTCTAATTCAACACTGTAAAAAGATCTTTAAATATTGTTTTTTTTAATACAAATATTGATTTTGTTGTCAGTTAATTGAAATCAAACTAAATATTATTTTTATATAATACATTATGTACATGCATGGCTCTACAATCTGTCGATACCTGTATATTGGCATTGCACAAGGTCATGTTTTTCTCTGTCTGTTAATGAGATATTTATACTAAATCCATTGGATGTTGGATGTGTACTGATTAATATTTTAGTCTAAGATGCAGTATTTTTTTTTGTTAGTTGTTATTGGCTTTGAACTAGCTTCATTTGAACTTTGGTGGATAGTTGTCTCATTGGCAATCATACCATACTCCTTTTTTACAATTAACGGTTTACGACAGTGGTAGAAATCTAGGTATTGGTTTCAAAAGAGTTTCTCATTTTTTATATGTATACTTCTCATCTTGCTTCTTCGATCATCTATAGTACAAAAGAAAATTATGCGAATGATATGTTTGTATAAATCTTGACGATTGTACTTACCGCAGTTGAAAGATATGTTTATCTCTTTTCTCACATCTGAATAAAACATCTGTCCCATTCATTAATGTCAGAGTGAAATCAGATTTTGTAAAGGACACTCTCCATGCAATCTTAATAGAAGTACTCCAGGAATGACGAAGTACCTTCGGAAACTTACATCCCGGACCTAAACCAAAGAAAAAAAACCGGGGAGTTTGTATTTACAACTTATCACGTGACACGGAGAGATTTAGAGCTTGACATAATGTGTATAGAAATTGTTGAATATCAAAACCAGAAAATCGATAAAATCGTCCTTTGGGTTTGTGTACCGTTGTTTCATTAACGTATACCTAATTAACTTTTTATTCATTATCCAAAAACACTACAAAGGTGTAAATTGTACACGTCAAATTTCAAAAGAAATTCTGAGTGCAGACATTTATCGCGGTCTTCAACAACTGAAATCACTATTTTGAAAGTCTTTTCCTCGTCATCATGACATTTGATATTTACCGAATTCCGTTAGTCACTTTCATGTCATTCGTTTATCGCTTATCACCGACGGTATCTGATCATACGAGCACTGCTGATGTCAATAGTGCAAAAAGAATCGCTCATCCTTCCAAGGCGCTTGAATTGTCTTTACAAATTATGTCCGATCGCCCCCATTAGTATCAAGTATGCATATATTCATGTCATCATGATACAGAAAAAATACATCTTTTGACACTTATATTGTATCTTAAGTAATAATTCATTGTAAGCTCTGAAATATATTACAAGCTATCTGAAATGTGACAAGATAAATAATTAGAAACAGTCCATCTTTTAGAAATAATTTCATAGAAACGCAAAGAAGGATATTGCAAGCGAGAGTTTTGTATACGTAGTTTCGTACTTTTGTTCTTGCATATTAGCCGACACATACTTAAAAATCAACATACTTGTTCGCTGAAGATATGAATAGACAGGCACTGATGAACCAAGACACACATCATTCAATGACATAGGACCAAAATCTCCTCTGTACAATAAAGGTCCCATCAAGCTGTGACCAATAGACGGATCTGATTAAAAGAAAGAAATAACCAATTGTCTTATGAACTCAAACGATTCATGTTTACAGGTATTTGCTATTTTCTGACGTTTTGTATGTTATATTCGAAGAGGTATTGCTTCCCTTTGCTAACTTTTTAATGCAATCAATGTAGTCAAATATTATAACATTCATAAAATCATCTAATTCATTCAATCTTTACTTGTAAAATAAGTGATTGGAACGTTTATTTCGAAGTCAGAGACAGACTTCTCTTTAAAAAATTCATAGTAGAAGTACATCTAATTTTCCGTTACTTACATTAGGACCGCTCACCAAATCACACATGGTTTGGTTACATTCGATCGTATCTACCCTATGGTAACCGGTCCTAAAGTTTGCATAGTCCTAATACTACGAAATTTTCTACGGTTCGCATGATCTATGAATTTATATCCTTTATCGACTGAGTCTCAGCCTGTTTCTTTTAACCACTAGCTGTGGCTTAACACTGGGTATCTATATTTTGTAAATTGGACGAGTGTGTCATATTTGGCACCGTATAGACTGCCAAACTTTCCAAGTCACCCGTTATTTTCTGTGTCTCACCATTATTTAACTCATTTTTCTAACTTATCGTTCACAGAATTCAATACACAGATTTTGAATTGGAAGATATCTATTGGTCTTCATTCCGTATCTATATTCCTGACCAATGAGTGGTGCCATTCGTTTTCATTCTGTATCTATATTCCTGATCAATGAGTGGTGCCAGATGATTTATGTTCTGATATACACATAAAGGTGCATATTATTACAGTTCTTGTTTGATCTAAGTATCTGTGCGGATTTGTTATAAAATCACATTCTGATTACATCAAATTGAATTTTGATATTATCAATATACTCCTTTTTGATATTTTTACGTGTCTATTGTTTTGTTTTACTCCCCTTTCATTAATTTACTTGGTTCAATTATTAAAAGTCGACATATAAGAATTATACAGCAGAAAGTAAGTTTATTGCCGAGCGGATATACATTTAGAAGAATAACCAAAGTATTTTTTTTTCTTTAATATTTTTCGAATTGATGACGTATAAAACATTTTTTTCTTTTAATATATCATTATGCTTAAAATTATGACTTGCCATTTAGCCGAACGAGGCTGTATTCTGCACGTGCATGATATGCGATGTAAGCAAATCCGATACATAAGTAACCATGATAACCGGGCCTATAGTCTCGAATTCTGAAATTGAAAAGAAAATATGTGAATGAGAAGATATTCGTATAGATATGTGAAAACTTCGTGTAAATGATGCTCTCGAATAAAACACATTTTACATGATATCAAAGAAAATCCTGCTAGTACCAGCATTTTGTATTTTATAAACTCTAGATCATTAGTTAACTTTATCAACCTTATGCATCTTAATTATATACAATCTTTGGCTGAACCATTTTTTGTTAATAAATAACCTCGCACATGCAGCGAAACCGGCCAGACAAATGTAAAATGAGTAATTTAGTAATAAAACCTTTCTTGATCATTGAAAATAGACTCGAACCTAATTCCCAAATCATAACTATTTGTTCTATGTTTATTTAGCTCCATTAAATTCTGGTTGTTTTTGTTCTGAATTTGCATGTTTGTGTCTGGATTTATGCTTCATTTGACGTCGCTGTAGTTTTGGTTTTTTTTTAATATTCAAATTTGAAAATGTCTACTTTGATTAATAATTCATATTTTGTGAAAATTTAATTTACACTTGGAACTATGTCCCAGATTTACAAAGAACTTTAACGATAGCAGTAGAACTCTGACATCAGAAATAAAATTCGTTCTTTACATTTAAATTTGAAATTTGATAAAAAATGCTTTCATTGGAAACTCTCTTTACGATTATAAAGTAGCACTGCTGGCAGATTAGCAAAACATTGAGTAACAGAACAAAGGAAGAAACACGTGGTCATGCATAAATCTAGGTAATATAGTAGCAATCCAAAGTACATAACATTCACGTTAATGATGTACTGAACTAGAATTGGGAGTATTCAAAAGTATGTTCTCAAGCATGTTGAAAGGTTTTCCATTTAAAACGCTATTGCTTTTCTAATATATAAGTGATTATAACAAAGTTAGGGTAGAAACTACTTGACAAAAAAGAATTTCAAGTGCTAACTAGTTGCCTGAAAATTAATTACGAAGTGAATCTCCTATTATCCAATGCGTTTCAAGTCTGCACGAAATAATTACATGTAATTTCAATATAATAAAACCTATCCAGATGTTGTAAATTAATTATTTGAACAGGAAACAAAATGGCAAATGTAACAAATGTTATAGTCATTGCAAATTATCTTCTCAAAACTTAAGTCGGCTCTCCCGTGTTCAGGGAGCACCACGCTCTTTGCACGTTAAAGATCCTCCTCAACAAGCTCTTTTTGAGTGGTCCATAAGTGACCGGTTGTTTGGCAAAATTATTTCATACTGGTTTTGGCTTTGATATATTTTCTGTGGTTTATAATTTAACTATATTGTTATTTGGTTTTCATGATCTTACTTTTGCCTAAAATCTGTTAATATTCATACTTTGATGAGTTAAGCCTTTTTTCAATTAATGTTTTATAGTGTGTCCTTTTATGTCGTATTGTTACACCACTGTCTCAGGTTAGGGTGAAGATTGGCGCCAGATAAAACGTTCAAACCCACTGCATTTGTTTGCACCTATCCTAAGTCAGGAACCTGATGTTCAGTGGTTGTCGTTTGTTGATGTGGTTCATAAGTGTTTCTCGTTTCTCGTTTTTTATATAGATTAGACCGTTGGTTTTCCTGTTTGAATGGTTTTACACTAGTCATTTTTGGGGCCCTTTATAGCTTGCTGTTCGGTGTGTGCCAAGGCTCCGTGTTGAAGGCCTTACTTTGACCTATAATGGTTTACTTTTACAATTTGTGACTTGGATGGAGAGTTGTCTCTAGGCACTTATACCACATCTTCTTATATCTATATATCATGTATAAATAGTAACAATGTATTGGTTCAATACACGAAAAAAAAAACAAATAGTAGAGACATTAAACAAAAACAACCACTGAATAACAGGCTCCTGACTTGGGACAGACACATAAAGAATGTGGCGGGTTTAAACATGTTCGGCCTTACCTTGGACAGTAGTGCAACAGCACAACATAAGAACACAATATAAAAAATTGGTTTGATAGGGTTTGACTTGTCAGATAAGTACGACGCACAAATTGTAAAATAAATAATAAAACAAAACACAAAACACAAAACTACACAAATTATCGATCTAAGAGTACTTGTCGTGACTGAAAGCAAGTTCAAAATAAAAAATAATATAAAGGAGATGTACGCGGTATGGTTTGACAACAAGATAACTATCCGACAGAGCTCAATTAAAGCAGATTCCAACATTTATTGGTCGCAAAGTAAACTTCAACTAACAAATAAACCCTGTTTCGAAAGACTACAATATCAATTAGAACGTTCTTCGATGTACACTTCACAAATTTGTTGTCCGAAGTCAATATGAAAATTAAAAACATTCTTCGCCACATGTTAATGCGCAAGTTCCAAATCAGTATCAACTAATTACTTTTGTTCTATAAGGAATGTTGTGTTGATGACACATCTTTGGTAGCCTCTGTAAAATCTATTTTAAACTTGTCTAGACTTTGGTCAATTTTGAGATTGACATTTAGTATTAACCACTTTTATTCTGTTGATGATATAGTTTACCTTCAGATCACCGTTTAGTTGTTGTGATATTCAGTTGACCTTCAGATCACCGTTTAGTTGTTGTGATGTTCAGTTGACCTTCAGATCATCCTTTAGTTGTTGTGTTGTTTAGTTAACCTTCAGATCACCGTTTAGTTGTTGTGTTGTTCAGTTGCTTCTTTAATTTGTACTTAGATTATATCACAATTAAAAAAAAATGGAATGAAAGATATATCATACCTGAGAAGAAAAGTATTTCCTTTGCCTTCAGCACACTTATATCTCAATGTTTCTTTGCCAGGCTCTTTGAACACCACACTCTTTCTTCTGACCCTAAGTATTGTTCTTGGTTGATTGACTAAATACCAACGATCTCTGAGGTAGGGTGATATGGAACAGTTAAACTTGCACTCTAAAACATCAAGATTGGATGCATAGGTTGAAAGTTACAAAAAAAAACGTATGTTAGTGAATTATAATTACAGCAAATTAAGTTATTTTAGAGAGAAAAGGTATTTTATTCTGTGAAGAGTTAGAAATGTTTTACCATCAAGAACGACTGTAACAGGAAATAACTGGAACAATATCAACCAAGAGGAATCAACTTATTACAAATATTCATTCTTTAAACAGTTTTTGCCTCTCTGCGATTTCGGTTGTTTTTTTTTTTTAACTCGGAGCTTTTGTATTTGCATTTACTGATTATATATTTTAAATCAACAAAAATGACAACTGGATTGACACTATAAAACGGTTGTAGTTTGCTTTTGTTAAAAAAAACAAATATTTCGATGGTATAACTGATTTTCTTTATCAAAATCCTTGAGGAAAGTAATTACAAGCAATAATCTTATCATGACAATACCGTCACTACTTTGTGCAATTCTGCGGGAGTAATGAGTTGTTTATCAACATTGCCATTCAGATTAATGTTGTAAACTTTGGAATAGACATGACAGAAATGAATTTTTATTTTCTAAGCATTAACTTGTAAGATGCTATAGTTTTTGCATTCAAAGAAATAATGGAGGATGTGGGGAGAGAGGGTTCCGATAATCTATATCTATATTTAACACCTGCCATAATAATGTAAACCCTCGTCCCCTTTAACTCAGTTATCCTGTACCTTCGAAAATTCGGAAAATCACTTGTTTTTATCTTGAACTTATCGATCGTTGAAGCTGTTTATTATCATACATCTACTGATGGTGAAGTAGAGACAGATACCGAAGATAAAAAAAAACCCTATGTTGTACAACGTTGATTCATTCAATGTCGCCAGCAATTAAATCATTTAAGTTTGAGGGTACATTAACAAAGTAAGACAAAGCAAATAGTTGAGAAATTCAAAACGGACGAACAAATAAATATCCTTAAAGTTTGCAGACTTCAAATAAAAAATAATCTAAAGACGTGTAATTGTCTGTAATGACAAAACATAACTGTAAATGAAAATATCAATGACACACGCACGTCACAATTCAACTGCAAATACATGTCTGTCCTTGCAGTTCCCTATATATATATATATAGTGATCGATTTACTCAACCAGTCATGCGAATTATTCACGACTATTTTGTCATGTACTCGATCACATATATCGCCACTCTCGCTTATCGCCACCCCCGCTTTTCGCAAAAAAAGCCTTACAGGTCCAAAAAAGAATAGTACTTGCATTACTCTTATTTTGGTCATAGATAAAATTGACCATGGAAATGGGGAATGTGTCAAAGAGTCAACAACCCGAGCAAAGAGCAGAAAACAGCCGAAGGCCACCAATGGGTCTTCAACACAGCGAGAAAATCTCGCATCCGGAGGCGGGCTTCAGCTGGGCCCTAAACAAAAATGTGTACTAGTTCAATGAAAATGGACATCACACTAAACTCGAAAACATATAAATAAACTAAAAAACATGTTTAACCCCGCTGCATTTTTGCGCCTGTCCCAAGTCAGGAGCCTCTGGCCTTTGTTAGTCTTGTATCATTTCTAATTTTAGTTTCCTGTGTATAATTTGGAGTTTAGTATGACATCCATTATCACTGAACTAGTATACATATTTGTTTAGGGGCCAGCTGAGGGACGCCTCCGGGTGCGGGAGTTTCTCGCTGCATTGAAGACCCCTTCGGCTGTTGTCTGCTCTATTGTCGGGTTGTTGTCTCTTTGACACATTCCCCATTTCCATTTTCAATTATAAAATTAAATAAAAAAAACATACAAGACTAACAAAGGCCAGAGGCTCCTGACTTGGGACAGGTGCAAAAATGCGGCGGGGTTAAACATGTTTTGTGAGATCTCAACCCTCCCCCTATACCTCTAGCCAATGTAGAATAAACAAACACACAGCAATACGCACAGTAAAACTCACTTTAAAAGCAGTATATCTATTTTAAAAATGTCCTTAATACACGAGCTTTTTAACAAAAGTTTGATTGAGAGTATCTATTATTAAAATTCGGAAAATGATTAAAGCATGTCCACTATATTATGGGTAAACAAAACTTCAACCTCTTATTTATGTCGAAAAATAACATAGTATATTCTGATAGAAACCCATGATCAATTAAAATTTCAAATATGTAGAGAGCTTTATTTTGAAAACCAAAAATAGAATAATTCTTACTAGCACAAAGATTTCAGCATAACCGAATAACTTTGATGAAAAAAGTACTTTATACAACATATGTACCCCATGAAAAATGTATGACAGCTGCCGAAACACTATGAAAGACCGTTACAATGTTGAAACCATTATGTCTTTTTTGAGTCGTTGGAATGCTCTCTCTCTCTCTCTCACAAAAAGCAGTATAAAAAGATTACGACTTCGACGTAATAGAAACAAATACTTCTAAAGTTAATAACCTAAGCTTAATAATACAATTATTTTATTTCAGTTTATTTTTTAGTCTGAAGAAAATGTCAATAACTAGAATAATATGTCTACAGAAACTTGAGACAACTACAAAATAATATGTCGGACGTAGTTAGCTGCCCACCTGCCTTTTACAATATTTAATAAAATAGTTTCACCATTTACGTTTTCACGGTAGATAATTCTGTCTGTCCTTACGTCTATAACACATTTCTGCCGCATGTGTCTCAGCATCTACACATCGGAACTTCTTGATACGTGTTAAAAAGCTAAACTGTTTGGCAAATGTTCAGATATGTCAACTATCTACATAATTTTTGCCACATAGATGCTTGTTTTTAAATTAATGCACTTTATATCGATAAACTATACCATGTTACATTGTTTATAGATCCGTGACAGTCACTATGTATCTATTTATTGTTTGCCAATAAACTCCACCCCGTTGATTATGATAGTTTTACAATCGAGATATTTAAATTTTCATACTTAAAAAAAAAAAAATGAAAATTTAACTATTGAGAGATTGGATAAATATTGAAGTCAACGTGATAATAATACTACCACTATATCTGATATAGTGGAAGTATATGTTTATCTAATGATTTGATGGAATGAATGAGTGCAATGTTCTGAATGCATATGGTTGGATCTTACACGAGACAAATTTACTAACGTGTGGTGTTAAAAAATTTCTAAAACTGATCAGAACCGGTAAAGCATATAGAGTTAGAGAAATAAAGATCCAGACACTAACTTAAATATTGTTATCCTACGAGGCAGCTTATTTTCAAATTTAAACGCGTGGCTTGACGAGATATTTAGATATTTAAAAAGTCGAGAGCAGAGAAAAATCGTAGTGCACGAGATTTGGTGTTGGAATCTGTCTCTCTATAAATAAATTATTGTTTGACAAAATGATGGCAAGCTTTATCTTTCTTTATCAATGACTTGCACAAAGATGCGTCCATTCTTTGTGACATTATCAGGCATGGTCACCTTTTTCGTGACGTGATAATAGCAAAACCAGATGAGAGAAAGTAAATTTTACGTCATTATTGAATTTTGACCAATGTAAACTAAAACCAAACCAACCACTTGTTGGTTATAAAAAAAAATTAATCAACAGTCCAGTGAAAGAAGAAATCGGCTATATTAAGTATTTTTTGTTAGTGCATACTAAAGAAATGTTAATGGTTGATGCATTTTCTCAGCAACTAAAACTTCCTATTTTTCATATCAAGTTTAATAAAATTGGTAAATTAAGCCGTGTGTTAATCTACTTTCTTTTGTCTGCTTCTGCATTGTTTGGCGTATATATTTTTTCTCATTTATAAGCAAGGACAGGGGGTTTGAATTTGTGGGCTCACTCTAAATCTGTTTTTTAAATAAACTAAACGTTTTTGCTTTGATTGTTAAATAGTAAATACTTAAAGTATATGTTAGAGAATGCTGATACCTTTCTCCATGCATAAGTTCGGGCGTTAGCGAGTACGCGTGTATTTATCATGAAGAAAGGAATTTTCATTTTCTTACAAACTTAAAATATCGTAAAGTGCCCAATACTCATTTGACCTTTCTATTTTATTTTTATTTTTAATTGGTTTTAATCAAGAATTGATTTCTTAGAAGCATATGAAATTTGACCGATATCAAGTTACAGTTTCAAAAGTTGTTATACCTAATCAATACAAATTACAGTAACAAATTATTTCAACACTCTATATCAAGTCAATTTATATAAAATTCTATTGTAGTTTTATTCAAGGCTCAGAAATAATAAATGTAATGATTTCTAACAATCGAGAAAATTAATTCAAGTTTCTCACCTCTCGTGGGAAATTATGTTGTTGTGAAAACGCATTTCTTTACTTCCTTAAATACTAGAAGAAAATTGATTAGAAGTCGAGACGTCTCTTTGACAGATTTATTATATACAGAAAGAAAGAACTGCGATCTAGCTACTCTCAGTCTGATAGGCTGAAACAAAACTTAACTCTTTGTACTGAAATTTAATATTTTGATATTTAGACTCTCTCTCTCCTCTCTCCTCTCTCTCCTTCTCCCCTCTCTCTCTCTCTCTTGCTGCTTATGACTGGTTAGGGATTTTACAGATTATCTTAATTATATTAAAAAAAAAAAATTGTCGTACCAGTACAGAAGTATGTATTCAGTGATATTGAATAGGGATTAACCTATTACTTATTGTATACATGTATACAGATGGATTTATCCTGATATATTTTTTTGAAATTGGGACTAACTTATTACTTATTGTTTACATGTATACTGATGGGTATATCCTAATCTATTTTTAAAATTGGGACTAACCTATTACTTATAGTATACATTTATACAGATGGGTATATCCGATCTACTTTTAAAATTGGGACTTACCTATTATTGTAGACAGGTACAGAAGAATGTACATGTATGCTATGATAATGTTACATCTGAACCAGTATACCTGTTAAAACAGAGAATCATGTTGTATACCTTTTGATACATAAAATTAAGGACCCACAGTTCAATTATACAATATACTGACGTCTTTAAGTGTTGGGGGAATGCAAAATTTCAAACACTTCTGCATGTTGCATATATACGTTTTATTAGTGCTTTTTTGTAAAATAAATGAAATTACAAAAAGTTGCTTATATCAATCAAAGTTTTTGATGGTTTTCCATCAAATATGAAATCTTATATGACGAAACATCGCAATAAACTTTCTTTTGAGTATAATGGTAAACTGTGAGGGCTAATTTCTAAAGATTGCTCACTATGTTATGTCGCTTATTCCAGATTTACAAACTTTAAGATAAACATTATTATATTTGACAAATACAAAGTAATCTTTAAAGGATTTCAAATTTTCAGTGAATAATATAGACTTACCATTATTTATAAAAAGTTGTTTATTAATCCTACATTTTATATGTAAACTTCAGGTATCAAGCTTTCAATAAAACATTAGGCGAAATAATCACCATCGAAAAACGATAAATCCTACAACATTCTCTTATTCCATATAGTATAATAGATTTTACGATCTGTTTTATTGTTGAAAATGTAAGCATCTCAATTAGGCAGCCTGTATAAACGGTTCCATGGCTTTTAATTATGCATCAATATTTTTTTTGTTCTATAACAGAAAAAATCGTTGAACGACAGTGAAACAAAAGTGTTTAATTAATTCCAACATTCGCAATGTTAGTTTGAAATGCTAAGTACTTTTCCTAGTGTGTAGGAATACTCGATCTGACTAAATTAACAAGCGTTATTACAGGCATATTCTTTTAGATCTTGTTACTCTTACGTTATTGTCAAAGGTTTCAGTTCTTTTTTACAGAAGTTCTTCATAATCTTTGAGATCAAAGAATCTTATTCTTCAATTAGTTCGCTTCTTCAGAAATCTGTATCTTTTAATGAGATTTACCGCTCGGAATAAATATCTCTGGCATTCTAAGGACTTTATACATCATCTTCATAAACAGCTATTAGGCTTTAATTAATACGGTATGCCCTGGAATCTAATAATTTTCTATATTTTACAGCGATTGAAATGTGATTAACAAGAGTATCTCCTTTTATCAGTTCTTTGTATTTCTTCAGAAACCGTATTGTGACTTGACTGACATTCATATCAGGAAGACAATCGTCTGTACTCGAACTGAACAATATTTCATGGAGAAGATAAGTGATTCCGATCAAATTTAATTGATAAACGAAAGCTTTTTTGTCAGTTTGTCTTGTAGATTATTGAGTTGATAAACGGTTTCAAATTAAGATGGTAGAGATCATATAAGCTAGATGAAATTCATAAGTGTTTCTCGTTTCTCGTTTTTTATATAGATTAGACCGTTAGTTTTCCCGTTTGAATGGTATTACACTAGTAATTTTTGGGGCCCTTTATAGCTTGCTGTTCGGTGTGAGCCAAGGCTCAGTGTTGGAGACCGAAATTTTCACCTATAATGGTTTACTTTTATAAATTTTGACTTGGATGGAGAGTTGTCTCATTGGCACTCATACCACATCTTCTTATATCTATAGTCTCCTTTTGGTTAAGTATTAGTTCACCCAATGAGGCTATATATGCGAACTGAACCATTCTTAAATAAGATTTCAAATGAAGTTGTATTGCATTAATTGGGGCTCAAATGGTTCTTAAAACACATTAATCCATTTTATGAGATGAGCACTACCTACAATAGAAAGTACAAAAATTGTCAGAGTGTTCAAAAATGGCCTCATCATGATTTATGTTTTTGTTTAGTAGTAAACATATTATACGTTGAACTTCGTTAAAATCAAACATGCTACTATAAGCTCAAGAAAAAACGAAACAACAGAGAAATATAAGCTTCACAAGAGGGACACCAAACAACAGAGATATATAAACTTCACAAGAGGGACACGAAACAACAGAGAAATATAAACTTAACAAGAGGGACACGAAACAACAGAGAAATTTAAACTTCACAAGAGGGACACGAAACAACAGAGAAATATAAACTTCACAAGAGGGACACGAAACAACAGAGAAATATAAACTTCACAAGAGGGACACGAAACAACAGAGAAATATAAACTTCACAAGAGGGACACGAAACAACAGAGAAATATAAACTTCACAAGAGGGGCACATGGAACATCCACAATAAAGGAAAAACTTGGTCAGTTATCCAATATGTTAAATTTTATTCATAAAACTCTGATCTAGATACAAGTGCAACAAGGGACCAGGTTTATATTTGCATTAGACTAATAAAGAGTAATTCTATGGATTATTGTCGGTATATTTAGTAAAATCGTGATTCTTTTAAAATTATATATTTCATCCATTACATTGCTGGATCTTTATTATCAAGTTAAGTCATCAATTCGTAGTTTATTGAAGACTTACAACGAATATCATATATAGTACTCCAAATATAACAATATCAATATCAGTCATTACAATGATAACGAGATAATTATATATATATAACGACAGCAAGCATTAGAAAGTGTAATGGAACATTGACATGATACAAGTTGTTTATTTATTATTTGTTTCTGTAAATCAGGAAGCAAACCAACAGTTGGACCCCGTGATATGCTGGGTTGTGTCGTTGTATAGTAATGTTTATTTTAATATTGCATGGTAGTGATTTTGTCAAAACAACATCTTTGGGTGCTGGGGCTACAAAAAATATCCCCGAGACAATTCAATTCGATTTGACATGTCGAGCATGTTGAGAGATCCAAGTCTATTTTGAATAGTTGAAAACGGACTATCGTTCTGTCGTGGTTTTTGTCAGTATGGAGAAATCGTTAATGACTCCAAGACGCTCAAGAATACAAGTACAGATGACTTTGAAACATCTGTAAAGACTTTAAGACACTGAGAACATTACTAATGACATAAATGCACTAATAAATCGTAAATTATTTGAAGACACTGAATATAACCGTTAATGACTAGCTTTAACTGAAGACAAACCTTCTCTCTGGTAGATATTAGAAGAGGAACGAAATCTGCGTTCTTAATAAGAAACATTTATATATAATGTCGTTTTTAAGTTTTACAGTTTGTATGACCACAGACGAAATGATACGATTAGCGTGAAATCTTGCATGTTTTTATACAAGGTCCAAAATGTCTGGTGAGCTTTACTGATGTTAAAGCCTGGTCTCGGATGTTATTTTACTGCACTGTCTTTATAACTACTTTCCATTCTAGAAAAAAAACATTACTACGCGATGAGTAAATTGACTATAAAGACTGAAAAATGACCAAGAACGACTGGTAAATTAACTAGAAAAATTGATAAATTGATACGTGTACCAACTAGAATTTTCAGGTTACTAGATTAGCTTATAAATTCATTTGTATTTTATTTTCAGCGTAATAATATATATGTTGTTCTGCATGAAGAAGGTTAATTTTCTAAATACAGTCCCAAAGATATTGACTTTGAGATGAGACATAAGAAATGCTGGTGGAAAACCGTTAATATTACACAAAAATTGAAGGAAGTGTTAAGATAAGGATATACAATTATGTACAAAAATTGAGGTCCAAATAATATGAATTTAAAACTTAAAGCTTGACCATCCATCGACATGTATTCGTTACCAAACGTCACAACAGTCCTTCCCTCATACTACCCCACCTAACACAAAAGCCTCCTACTCCAAAGGTTTGTTCATTTATAGGAAGATGTGAAGAAATACATCCTGATTACTGCATTCGCAGTAAGTGTAAATTCAGTAAAAAAATTCCTGTTCATAGTAATGATTTTTTTTTGTATTTCCCAAACATAAGCACTTAATTCCTCTTTTTGAACCCGTGAACGGTTGTTCGTATGTTTACAAAATATATTATAAATATAATATCAATACAACCGTTTCAAAGTTTTCTTTTTTAAAATTATGTATGTCTTCTTACGGCATGTAGTTGCAACTGTACCACGTAATTTAATGTAGGTAGTCACTTGATTGTACTATCAGCAAATATACACCATTTATCCAAACAGTAAATTGTAAATATGTATAACAGGTAACAGAAAATTTTATGATTTTTTTTTATAAAAATAAAGCATTGCAAAGAGCGTACTTCTACTGAAAACCCTGGCTCCAACTAATAGAATAATTATACAAGTAATTTTTTAAGTAACAAAAATATCAGGTTACTAGAATAGCTTATAAATTCATTTGTATTCTTTCAGCGTAATAATATATATGTTGTTCTGCATGAAGATGGTTAATTTTCTAAATACAGTCCCAAAGATATTGACTTTGAGATGAGGAATAAGACATGCTCAAAACTCAATCCAGACTGCCTAGGTTTTTACCCATCATTATTTATTTATAAGTTTGTTAAATGATTCAAAACAAACTCATGATATGTATTTGTCTTGATTTTGCTGATGCACTATGGACTTACTTCCATAATTATACCATATACTATGATTGTTTATATTTGTAGTTTTGCCAAAAAACACATTACAAAAAAAAATCTTCAGGTAAGTTGGCAAATGACTTATGTATCCTTGTGCAAATGATAAGTTTGGAAAGATAGAAAATCTAAAAACAGAAGTTGGCGCTAAAGTACTGCAGCCCAATAAATGGAATCAACACATAAACATCTAGACTTCATTGCCATTTGGTAAGTACTGTAAAGCAATAATAAATCATAAAGACAAAGATCAAGAAACCTCCAAAGATAAAATTTTATAAATAACACCACAAGGTCAACTATTGACATAGGCTCTTTGCTTTGGAAAGGCATATACAGCTATATTTATCTTTATATTGCAGATTCTGTTATCTTTTTAGCAATCAAGTCTCCCCTTTATATCTTAATACCTGAATCAAGTTAATTACAGATATCTACGTGTACAGTCAATTATAGATTTCATAACAAGTGAGAATTTGATATCGATTGATATCCAATTTCAAAATAATAATAAACGAGTCTCACGAGTTGTTTAACCTATTTCTCTTATGCATGGTGAAAACTATCTTTGTCCTGATGAAATTTTCCATATTGCAAGCTTCACTTCAAATATAATTAAGTTCACTAACAATATTTATAATATTGTGTCAGGTACCAAGACTACTGTTTAACATCAACTGTTTTCAAGCTCTTTTGTACGCTTCAGAATGGAATCAAATTTGAAAAAAAATAATATTTTCAGGTAAAACATGTGGGCGTTTTGTATTTTATTGGAATAATCACAAATCTCAGTTGCAAAGGGAGAAATTAGACCTTTGAAAATCACCATTGACCTAATGTATAACCAATGGAAAAGTCGAAATTTCGTAACACATTGCAGGATAGGCCAACCTAATTAACGCATTTTTCGCATCACTTATTCATGTTACAATCCTTTCAGTGTGATACGAGAAAAATGTGTCCATGTGTGAAATAGATAACAGGCCACAACCATTAGAGAATCGGAAAATACAAATCCAAACTCAAAAGATCTATTGCTCACGGTAAACAGTAAATAGATTGTCATACACAGAAAGGGGGGAAGTTAATTTGCTTGCGTTGCAAATAATCGGGCAATTATAATTTCTTTCGAAAAATACAGGGATACAGCTACGACCTTTATTTAACTGTTATCCAGTTGTTCAACCCCATTGCAAGGAGGTTCTTGTTCAAACTGTATAAGCATTGTTAACAACATTACCATACTTTTATAATGCTTTGATATATAATGTAATAGTAAAATTTAAAATAAAAGTTGTCAACAAATCATATAATGGAAATTCTAGAAGAAATAGTCGGTGAGAGATACACATATATTTAACTCTGAGAATCTACCAGAGACAAATATGGTTGTGTTTAGACAGACATTCCAATAATCATGTACACAGGCAACTTGAAACAAAAAATAATATTTCAATTAAAAAAAATCTTTAATCATTTAAAAAAAAAATATTTTATTATTTTTTTCCTATTGATTTTTTTTTCGGGGCGGGGTCTTTCTATCCTATTGAGTTTGAAGATCATTTCATCACAATGATGAATTACTATAATAGTAAAATAGAATGTAAAAGTAATAATTGAGGGTTTTGTTAAAAGTTATCATTTGCCACACATTCTATTCGTTTGTATAGCTTTCATTGATTATAAAGTACTGAATACAAAGTGAAAGTAAGTACAATGATATAAACTGTCAAGTGCTTTAAAGTACGAATATATATGATACAATCATAACCGTGATTAAGCGTGTATATTTGCATATTTTCCCACATTTCAAAAGAACAAGTTCTTATAATATACCCAATCAGATGTTATGTTAATCCCTGTGATTTTTATGCAATGATGAAATCTTTATATGTGTAAGCAAACATGAGATAACTCAATGAAATGATGAAAAAAATCACAATCAACAATTTCTTTAGGGGATAAACAACGCTCGTGGTTTTAACAAATGTTATTTTCCGAGAGAGCTCTGACAAAGATTTATCTAAAACCTAAAAATCTAAGTTGCAAAAAGTAAATTAAATGTCAGTATATAAATTAGTATGATGTAATGATCAATGATGATGATTATAGTGAATGTAACAGTTAGTTGCTGTTGAAAACCTATATCGTTTGATGAGCTGTATGAGCAATTTTCCAAATATTCCTTACCGCACTTGACACATGCATATTTGTTGTGATTATTCACGGTTTTCAATGTGTTTGTTATTTCCGAATCATTCTCAGAGGCACTCCCATGGGTTATTCATTCATTCAGAGCACGATGAGATATACTAATTCTAATTAGATTAACAACCCATGTTGTGTCTATGTCATGAATTGTCCGCGGCGGAAATGGTTACAGATCAATACTAACAGGCTCCTATTGTTTATATAATTAATAACGTACTGACAGTTCAGCCTACTTCCCCTCTTTTAAAAATTTGAAGAATTTTTTCGATGGAATTTTGATGTACAAGAATTTTGCTCAGACATGGAGATTTTAATACAGCTGTATTTTTGTTATTATTTATTTTCGATATTAATAATACAAGGTAAGCTTATTCATTTTATTGTTTCATAGTAAAACTTGATTTTAGAGTGTTATAAATTTTTTCAACAAAAAAATTCATATTGAAATAAATATTACGATGTAAATTAATTTATTCTTCATGCATTTTGGATATTTAAATTGGGAGATATAATAATTAATATTCATTTCAGTTTTATTACATCTATGTTTCAAATTATATATCTGTTTGGTAAATGAAAAATGAAAGGCATTGGATTTTCCGAGTAGTACAAAAACAATTAGGAAATTATTAATTTTGAAATTGATTTTATTACGGTCTGTTTTCAATACAAATCAGAAAATGTTCGACGTCCTAATTATAAGAAATGGATTTTAAAATAACATTGTACGGATTCTGGGGCCAGTTTCACAAAGCTGTCTTAGGACTAAGATATGTCTTAAGATGGTCTTACAACATATCTTAGTCCTAAGTGGGTTTCACAAAGTGGTCCTAATTTAGGACATCTCTTAAAGTTGGTCATAAAGTTAGGACTACACGAGAGGTGTCTTATGATGGTCTTAGGATAGTCATAAGTTTATTTTTATGAATTACACTTATTTTTTATATTAATTTTGCAAATTATGTTATTATTATTTGATTATGTAATCTCCTTGTTCTACTCGTAACAAAATCTTTATAGGTTGGGGGATTATCAACAATGATTTATCAACAATGAACATTCGATTTATTTATATCAAAAATGCACGATTTTATCCTTTAACCTTTTTATAACCGATACAGTGAAAACTTGACTTCAACTCACTTGTACAAAGTCAAATAATCATCAGCTTATTGTTTTTTTTTCTCGAATTTTTATTTGAATTTTTATATGCATATTGGTGTATTATTAATAGATTATTTATATAAATTAAACTAATGCTTTATATTAATTTTACGAAATATCTAATTCTGGAATGTTAATCAATACGTTAAGTAATTTATTGGAAAGACATAATACATTTACATGAATTTTTCCATGAATCCATGTTAATATTTAAAAATTTAAAGAACTTGCGACAGGTTTAGGATATCTTAGCTAAGATCATCCTAAGACAGCTTCGAGGCGTGGTCTGAGATATGTCCTAGGATAGTCATAAGAGGATCATAAGACATGTCCTAAGATATATCTTATGACAGGTCTTAGGATAGCTTCGTGAAACCGGCCCCTGGAGTTTAGAATTTAAAAATGCTTTATTGCAAAAAGTAAAACCCTGACGGGTTAAAATGCAAATATAATATACACAAGAAACATACAATACATGAAAAAAGTGGTAAACAAGTAAAGTTAATAATAATTATTTATTTTATTAAATAATTTATAATTTTTCAGTTCTTTTGTTTTTTCACAGTCTGATTAGTCTCTAAACTACAAAGACTTCATATTAATTTCTAATTTTCTACATTTCAGTGTACTCTAATTTTCTACATTTCAGTGTACTCTAATTTTCTACATTTCAGTGTACTCTAATTGCCTTCAGGAATATTTACAGCATGGAACTGCGACAATAAAAACCAAGCCCTATAATTCTATACAGTATGAGTGTGACGAAGGATTTGATCTGTTCGGTTCAAATGAAGCTTATTGTTTTGCTGATGTATGGACTACACCTATTCCCACATGTCATGGTAAGTTCGGATTTGTTCACAGAACTTATTACATTTGTTTTCGGTGATATGTCATGGTAAGTTCGGATTTGTTCACAGAACTTATTACATTTGTTTTCGGTGATATGTCATGGTAAGTTCGGATTTGTTCACAGAACTTATTACATTTGTTTTCGGTGATATGTCATGGTAAGTTCGGATTTGTTCACAGAACTTATTACATTTGTTTTCGGTGATATGTTATGGTAAGTTTTGATTTGTTCACAGAACTTTTTACATTAATTTTTTTTTCGGTGATATTTCAAATAGATCACTATGGATATATATTCCTTGTTATCAGTTGTCATATATTATGATTAAAAAAAAAATTAAAGTACGTCAAGTTCACAAAATATACGGAAATGCAATTACGCCAATAATTGTATGTACTCCCTTGATGACCTCTGGATTGTGAAATTCCTCACCGTTGTGTACTGGTCATGAAAAGTACTACTAAAAAAAAAAAAAAAACTATATTGCTTGTTCTATTATTTAATGTTAATATATTTTATATCTATTTTTATAAAATCGACCTCATTACACTAAACACTTTATATATAGAATAATACATGGCAAAGTCCGTATCGCATGCTGTATCACCACGATGAACCAATATTAGTCACTAGGGCCGAAGTTCCCGAGGGCTGATATTGGCCGAGTGGTGATACAGCATGCGATATGGATCAAGTTTGCCATGTATTGATCTGTTTATCATATATTTAAATAGAATCAGATTCGTATTATACAACAGATCCGTGATTCATCCCCCTTTTTTTAATCGTCCCAAAATATAACAGAGACAAGAAAATTACGATTTCCCTGTAGTTTTCCAGCTGACTTTTTTATAAACTTCCTTATTTGCTGATCCTGTTTCACGAAAGTCATAACACAATTCGGGATCGTTACATCCACATCGTAATGTCTCTAATAACCTTATTACATACTCAATATAGAGCTATGAAACTTGCAAATAATATATTTTAAGTTAAGACCATGTATTTTTGAATATTTAGATGCATTCACTAACGATACTGTCAGCTGCTCCCTTCTGTAGAATACAATCCATCTTCCCAATATATGTTGTCAAGTTTAACCAAGTTTCACGGTGACCTTGGTTTTCATATTATACTGCAATAAGATCTCATTTGTATACATAAATGTGGTCAACAATGTAACCAAGTATCATCTATTCAAAGATTATCAGGGGCGGATCCAGCCATTTTTAAAAGGGGTTTCCAACCATATGTCCCCATTCAAAAGCATTGATCGTCAAAAAAGGGGGTTCCAAACCCCCCTGGATCTACCACTGATTATGGACAGACAAACAGAGGGATTCCTAAAAATATATATATATGAATTCCACATATTCGACTGGGTACCAATTTTGTTACACTAAATATATAATTCTATTACTAAAAATCTCTTCAGTAGTGTTTGATGTTAAAACGTTGACTAACATGTGTTTTTCCAGGGGAAATATATATATATATATATACTGAATACCATGATTACTTCTAAAGCTTGTGCAACCCCATCATTTATTAGAACTAAAAACATTTTCACCAATGAACTTCTAATGCTGATACTAATAAATGAATATTAAATTAACACCATTTTATTTTTAATCTGACAAACAAAGCAATTATATCACAACAAGGATCATACTACAACAAAAACAAAATATCAACTGCATTAGGTTTAATACTTGTATTAAAAGAGAAATTTGGTCATTCGTTAAAATAATCCAACATTAGAATTTTTAGTCCTAATCTGGCTTAAATGACACATTTTGTTTTGCAAGTATTTGCTGTCAAATTTTCTTTCTCACCCTCTTTTGGATAAAGGTAATTTATAAATTTCCTTTTTCTCATTTGGCAAAAATGTTTGGAACCTCATATTGATACATGTACATATAATTTGTTTTAACACCAATTTTAATATTTGCATTATTCAAAATAATTGGGAATTAGAAGTGAACATTGTTGTCTGCTCATTGGTCGGGTTGCTGTCTCTTTGACATATTCCCCATTTCCATTCTCAATTTTATTACTACTTAAACCCTTGGTTAAAGAAAATTAACAATGTACGTACATGCAGTATTGCTTATTAATACAAATGCTTTGGAATAGTAATTTATAGGTTCCATTCTTTTATTATCTCAGTTCGATTGCACTAAAGATAACACACATAAATGTACATGTACTTTTAACAAAATACTAGTGAAGAGAGAATGGGTCTTTGTCATTTTCCTAAATGAAAATTTCTATTCTGAATCAGTGTCATAAATAGCCCGTTTTTTCTTGAAAGTATTTTTTTATGAAATTCCACTTTTGAAAATGTGGTTTCATTTCGTATCATACCAGGAAATACAGCAACTGGACGTCATATGTCCAACTTTCTCGTTATTCGACATATGACGTCACGCCATACGTGCAATATACGGGGTATATGATACGGGTTTAGCTATGTGATACGGGTTTAGCTATGCGATACAGGTTAGATAATACAGACTAGAGAAAAGAACCTTTATTAGATATACAAATTTTCTGTATTTAGTACTTAATATATAATAAACTGTAATATTATCCTATATTGTTCATATTTTACTTTATTTCTTTGTGTATTGTAAATTTTCATTAATACAACTCGCATATTTGATAATAATTACTGTACTATGATGTTTACGTATATCTTGCCTGACAAGGGCCCATGATTGGTAAAACAAAATAATATTTAATGTTTAATGTACTAGTTCAAGAAAGAAGACTTATATCCGTAAAACAACAAAGTCGCTGACATATACACAACTTCTGGATTGCTTAGAAACTAAATTTAAGGCCAATCTTTTTATGAAACAGCAATGAGTTTGTACCTAACTTGGATTTCTATTTTTGAAATATACTGATAGGTTGTGTATTCAAGCCACAACGACTAATCATCTTTTTTAAGATTCCATTAGTACAATTTCTTTCTGAAATAACCTATGAAATTTTGAAATAAAAAAGATGAGGCTGTAGAAATGATACGTCATGCTCAAGTTTCAGAACAATTGACGACAAATGTTACTGAATGTCTGCAATTATAATTATATTTGCTTATTAATATCTATATTTAGATCATACGCTATTAACTATTCATTCATGTTTTTAGCTAAAGGATGCAACCAAAACGGTTTCACATCTGTAGAAAATGGAGAAATCGATGTATTGTCTGAATCTTCTCTTGTACTTGTGACGTGTAATCCTGGGTATATAATGGACGGTGAGAGTACTATCAGCTGTGACGGACAACACTGGTCTGAACCACTCCCAAACTGCCACTGTAAGTTATACCATGGAAATATTACATACTGACAACACTGGTCTGAACCACTCCCAAACTGCCACTGTAAGTTATACCATGGAAATATTACATACTGACAACACTGGTCTAAACCACTCCCAAACTGCCATAATAAGTTATACCATGAAAATATTACATACTGACAACACAGGTCTGAACCACTCCAAAACCGCCACTGTAAGTTATACCATGGAAATATTACATACTGACAACACTGGTCTGAACCACTCCCAAACTACCATAGTAAGTTATACCATGAAAATATTACATACTGACAACACAGGTCTGAACCACTCCCAAACCGCCACTGTAAGTTATACCATGGAAATATTACATACTGACAACACTGGTCTGAACCACTCCCAAACTGCCACTGTAAGTTGTCTGAACCACTCCCAAACTTTCTCTAGAAGCCGGTTTGAACCTCTCCGCAATATATTGTCACTTCAAGTTAATTTGAAGATATAATGTAATATGTGCTTTGTCGTTTTATTATGATACATGTATTTGATGTTCTTAGTTTTAAACAAAGATATAAGTACACATAGGGTTTAATCGGATTTTTTGGGTTAAATGTGAATGTTGTTGGCCAAATTATATTGTGTAGAGAACGTTCCAACTAAAAGAATTTAACTCAAAAATTTGTAAAAACTGAAGAAATACAAATCAAAACCTTTATCAACTTTTTTTATATCCAATCGCCCGTTGTTACAACTGTATCGTGTTTTACGCCATTTATGTAAAGGAAAGATAAGGATCGTAAATATCTATAATACCATCTAACATCTGTGAAGAGGATTACTATATCATGTACAAGCTTACATGAACTTGCACAATGAGGGCTTAAACAAATACATGTTAATTCAATAAACGTCGCAACTAATTCAAGTCTTTGGTGAACAGCAGATATTTATCAAAATCTTAAGATGGTAGTATTCGATTTCAAGATGAATGGAACCACTCTCGTTAATTCCCCTCTGTAAAGAAAATAAATGACAATTTCTTATAAAATCAAATATACTATTATTCATACTAATATCATTATTATTATTATTCAATATAGTCTTTTTTCTTTGAGAACATACAGACTTACTGGTCACCTTAATTGATTATATTTTGTATGCTTTCTTGTAGCTGCAGTTGACATTGCTAGTTGTAATTTTGAACATTCTTTATGTGGATGGACACAGGACATGGGTCATCAATCTGATTGGCAGATTAACGTTAGAGAAACAGACACTAAAAGAACTGGCCCAAAGTTTGATCACACGTTGGGTCCTGAAAACGATAACGGTAAGTCTTACACGAAACGTTTCAAGGCTTTACATTTTATTTTTTTTCAACTTTATCATTTTTTTCATTTTTTTCGTATGAACATTTTTATTGGCCTAATTTGTTATATATTAATACCTAAGAGATTCACATTCGATAAGATACACCAAACAAGTAAGATCACTTAATGCACCATTAATAGACATTTTCGGAAACTATAATTCACAATAACTTTTAAGTTGGCGATGATAATTACAGGTAAACTTACCTGTGGGTCATCTCAAAATAAACTATGTCATGAAAGATGTTGCTACATGCTCAACAAGCGAATATAATAAGATAAAATATTTTTATTCCGAATGAAATCAGCACCTTCTTAGCCGTATTTGATTATAGAATAACTAATTGAAGAATTCAAATATAGAAAAATATTCAACTAGTGACAAAGCAACTCATAAATTTACGAAGACGCGTGAGTTAATCATCAGTGTTGTTCGGTCACATTCAAGTTGAATATTTTTTCGATATTTGAATTCTTTGATTTCTTATTCTTTTTATTGCATTGAAAACTTTTTTTTTTATTCGAATTAAAGAAAAAAGTTTAAGGATCAATATCTTTTTCTACGCATTCACAATTTATTTTGATGCGGCGTCATCAACAACTTATTGCAATACCTATTGTTACATATGACGTAAATGGAGTGAAATAAGAAATTTATTTCACATGTGAAACTTTCGGGTTTTATTTAACTGGGAAAACACGGAAATTATTTGCACTATAAGTCATAATATGTTTTAATCGTTTGATTCTGATGAAAGCAGACTCTCAAGCCTTTAATATTTTAGAAATTTTCTTAACCATGAATTTCTCATATATCAACAGTTTTCTTTGAACAAGCTGCATCAATGATATGCTATTCTGGATCAGCTTTTTTGTCGTTTGAGCACTAGGTTCGGGCTTTGTTCGTCAGATAGTTACAGGTACCCGCCCTCTTGTTACAATGCCGGACGTCTTTGTCGTAATATTTTTTCATCCCCGGATAACAGTTCCAACAAGGGATTATCTCCCTGAACCATTACTTGAACTTAGATATAGAATTGTAGACGATGCTGTAGAACTATGTTCTCAAATGTTTTCAAGTCACAGATACTCCTTTCATCAAACAACTGGAGAAACAGCCAAAACCTTTTTAGACATATTGAAAATAATTGGAAATGATACGTTCGTGCGTATCACTGATAGGCCACACAAACTTATCCTAGAAATAATGTTGTTCATGCTTTGGCTCAGATCATATCGTTTACTTTCATAAGGCCTTTAATAATGAGCAAAATCCTTGCCATAGAAACCAGCTGTGACATGCTCCGGGGGAAAAAACTACGATTTGTAATAAAATAAACTAACCTGATAAATCACGCTACAATAACATTAAGGTGTCATTTCTACTGCACCAGATGTGCATTTCGACCGGTGATTTCTTATGATAAATGTAATTTTTGACGTAAGCGGAATGAAATTAATAAGCGAATATCCTAGTTTTTACCAACATTTTCATAATCTGGTACAGTGACCATCTCTAAATGAATTAAGAGCATCAGTGTGAAAAAACTGCTAATGGCAGTGGATGCTATTGACTAAAACTCAACGGAAATTTACAGGTCACTAGCTGATCCCAAAGAGCTTTAATTTTCAGGACATTGCGATGCTATGGTCAACTGTTAAAAATACTGAGCTTGACTCTCTTGAAAGGATTGTTTATGATAAAATATTTCCTAATAGATATCCTCTTGCGGGATCCTATAAACAACAACTAATACTGTGAAAACCGGAAAATTTAAAGAGAGGTGTTGAAAACTAATAATTTCATCAAAGAATACAGAGTTACTGTTGAGAAAAAAATTGAAGAATTACAGAGTTATGGATAGAGTTTGCAAACATTCCACCAGGAAGTTCCATCAAATTATAAATATGTGTGCTGCTTTTGTATGCAGGCGTCGCGACTTATTTTGTTGATTTGATTTGAAATAAATCTTATGAATGCGGTATTCGCTTTTCAATTCATCAACATTGTCCACTTTGAGATGACCCCTATATAATAATCTGTAAATGTCATCATCAATGTTAACATAAAAGTTTTAAACAGTTTTCGAAAATGTCTATTAGGAGACTGGTTTGAATAAAGCCACAGTAATAATTTATTTGATTTATGAACTTGAATATACATGATATAGTCCATCTGTTGCCGTTGTTGAAATAGAAATTCATCATTTGATTCCATTAACATCCATTCATACATGTATATTAAATCAGCATATGTAATTGTGGCCAATTTATTTTAAGTCGAAATTTCTAAAAATGAAGGATGATTTTGAATTTTTTACGTATCTTTTTGTTTTCAAATACAAATGCTATAACAACCATCAAGGTTAAACGTAAGCCTTTGACAGTATCTATATACAAGTACTGCATACCCTTTAAACAACTTTTAAACAATTGTCATACAATGGGGAGGTAGTTAGCTATAACACCATGTTTAATCCACCATTTTCTTAGGAAAATTCCTTTCCAAGTCAGGAATATGACAGTTGTTTTTCATTCGTTCCTTTGGTTGATAGAGTCTAGCGTTTGATTTTTTTCAGTTTTCATGCATTCGTTCCGTTGGTTGGTAGAGTCTAGCATTTGATTTTGTCAGTTTTCATGGACTTTCCCTTTTTGAATTTACCTTGGAGTTCTATATTTTTGTTATACTTTTTACGAAATTCCATAAAGCAATATACCACATCAAATATACGAAAGTATTCATACCCAAGATATATAAAAATGAAATAGAGAAATAGAGAAACCCTTTTTAAATGATTAGTTTAAAATAAAACACACTAAGTTGTACATGAAAGCTTAATCGAATCAAAATTATATTTGCAGCTCATATTTAGATGCTAGCATAGTATAGTAGATTTTCTGAAACTGTTTTGATCATCCCAAAAGCAACTCAAAAGTGATTACACATCTCCATGTCAAGTTCATAGATACATCCTACTAGTAATTGCTAGCCATACTAACTGTCTAACCCGAGAAAATAGCTTGTCATATGGTTTAGGGTTAGTTCATCTTTCATCATTTTTTGTCAGAATGTTGACCCCTTAATGCTTACTTTGATTAGCTTGTATCGTTGGTTTGCTGTCTCATTGACGCCATTTTAACTCAGTCTAGTGGTTCCCTTAATTTGCATTTGTACAGATGTATTTACCATTTGAAAAGGAGCGTTTGATATGATACTTAAATTGTAAAGTGTCGAGGGAATCAGCTGTATGCATGCGAATAATAACTATATCAAGTTGTTCTTTGACAGGTCATTATATCTTTATGGAATCGTCCACACCTAGTCAACATGGACACTACAGTAGGTTGTTATCTCCCGTCTATCCCTGGTATAAAAGTCGTCGATGTTTTCAGCTCTGGTATCACATGTTAGGACCAGAAGAAGATGGATGTAAGTGAGGTTTTTCTTTAGAATAAAACATGAAATTAAATATTAACAAAAATAATTAAAATTCAATATGACCCAATACATCACCATTCACCGAACCGTAAAAAAGCACGTACCGTGCGCGATCAATCCAATATAATCGACCTTGTTCTTAATCGCACAGTATACAACACATTCTACTGAAATGACTCACAATGGCACCAATAACCATGCAACTCCACAGCTAAAGAACCAACTGACACCAGCTTAAGAACCATGCAACACCAGCCAAAGAACCATCCAACAACAGCTTAAGAACCATGCAACACTAGCTAAAGAACCATGTCACACCAGCCAATTAATGCTGACCAAAACATCTTTTCTCATACAATACCTTTGAATCGTATTGCAACTGGCTGTATTATAGACTATAAGCTGTGAATTCTTGCACATGTACCGCATCTATAGCATAATCCTAACATATCTAGCAATTCTACTATGTTGGCAAACATCCCTAGATCTGTTCAAATAAGAGATAAAAAGATTATTGAGACATTTTAATGAATATATAAAGAATTCAAAATAAAAGTAGGCATTTGCACAACAGGAGCCACTATAAACAAGATATACATTTTTACAAAAGCCATAACTAACTCTAGTTTCTACAGCTTGGATATGCACCATGGATACACTTAATTGAATAAATGCTATTTTACCAGAATTTTTAAATGATTGTTTATACTACATCTCTTTATTCAGACGAATGATAAACGCAAGAACAATTTACAATAGAGAATGGAAACTGGGAATGTGTCAAAGAGACAACAACCCGACAAAAAGAAAGACAACAACCCAAGGCTACCAATGGGTTTTCAACGCATCGAGAAAATCCAGCACCCGTAGGCTGACTTCAGCTGGCCCCTAAACAATAATGTATACTATTTCAGCGAAAGGGACGCCACGCTAAACTCATAAACATACAAATGAACCAAAATTGAAAATCCACACAAGACTAACAAAGGCTAGAGGTTCCTGACTTGGGACAGGCGCAATAATGCGGTGGGGTTAAACATGTTTCGAGAGATCTCAACCCTCCCTTAAACATCTAGCCAACGTAGAATAAACAAACCAAACACACAGCAAAAAATATGTTTGCCAATTACTTTGTTTTATAGATATGGGTAACCTAGAGATTCTTCTGCGAATACCATCAGGACATGATCACGTTGAAAGTCAACTCTTTCTCATTGGTGGTAACCAAGGAAACGAGTGGCACAAAGCCGACGTGTTAATTGAACGACAGAAAGGAGATTTTCAAGTGAGATATAAAGCATGCCATTAATGAGTTCATTGAAAGCCCACCGTTATTGAAAAGAATAAGCAGTTAATAACTTTTTTGTCTCACCCTGTTGTTGGTAAACTATCACGTGGTTGTTATGTGCTAATATAATCCAATACTACAAAACCTTCTGTTAAATTGCCTTTTAATGGCCTCGCAACAAAGTTGTCGGGGGCATATAGTTTTACCCTAGTCCGTCATTCCGTCATTCCGCAACAAACCATTATACGGACTTTTTTTCTAAACGCCTTCAGATATTGGGCTGATTTTTGGTATGTGAGTTAACCATGATGAGTTACAGATTAAGGTAAAGTTTCGTTCTGCTCTGCTAAATTTTGCCGAAATTACGGCCTTTGGACTTTGATAAATTATTGAAAATCACAGTTATACGGACTTTTTTTCTAAACGCCTTTAGATATTGGGCTGATTTTTGGTATGTGAGTTATCCATGATGAGTTACAGATCAAGTTTAAGTTTCGTGTCGCTTTGCTAATTTTTGCCGAAATTACGGACTTTGGACTTTGATAAATTGTTGAAAATCACAGTTAAACGGACTTTTTTTCTAAACGCCTTCAGATATTGGGCTGATTTTTTGGTATTTGAGGTAACCATGATGAGTTACAGATCAAGTTTAAGTTTCGTTCAGCTCTGCGTATTTTTGCCGAAATTACGGGCTTTGGACTTAGATAAATTGTTGAAAATCACAGTTATACGGACTTTTTTTTCTAAACGACTTCAGATATTGGGCTGATTTTTGGTATGTGAGTTAACCATGATGAGTTACAGATCAAGTTTAAGTTTTGTTTCGCTCTGCTGATTTTTACCGTAATTACTGGTTTTGGACTTTTGGTATGTGAGTTAACCATGACGAGTTACAGTTCAAGATTAAGTTTCGTTCCGCTCTGCTAATTTTTCCGAAATTACGGTCTTTGGACTTTGATAAACTGTTGAAAATCACAGTTATACAGACTTTTATTCTATATGCCTTCGGATTTTGCGCTGATTTTTGATTTGTGAGTTTACCATGATGAGTTACAGATCAAGTTTATGTTTCGTTCCGATATACTGATTTTCATGTCGTTTCAACACATCTCCAGTATATCCACTTCCTGTTTGCCGATATTTTAACTACTCATTGATCAAGGAAATTTTTCATCAAACTAGTATTGGTCTTGAGAGCTGGATACTATCCATGCATGTTTGTGTCGACATGTGTTGTTGAAATTGCAGATTTTTCAACTTTTTGAGACGGGGCCATTCGTGTCGTTCAGACACATCTAGTTTTTTTGTTTTTTTTTTTAACTCGGATTGGAAATTTGACCTCCTTTTGTCCGATATTTTCTGGTCTTGCTCTTTCCGGAGTATTGTTCTTGATTTTGCAATATATCATAATTAGGGTTTAAAACAAAATTAATTTGCTTTTAAATTGTAAAATATTTGACATTTTCAACAAATATTCCATCTTGATTTGACCGAGCCGAATGATTTGAATTTTAGCAACAGTAGTTTTCAGATGTTCAAATCTGATGAATCGATTGAGAAGATTGTTTACCCGTTAGCCATTATAAACTAGAAAAACAATAAAACGAAATAAGATTAATCGAGACTGAAACACAAAGATCAAGAGTTACTTTTCTTGTTACATGTTTAACGGATTTTGTATCTACAATGTAAATGTATAGTACTTCAGTAACTAGTTAAATGAGGTATGCAGTTGTAATTATCACTTCTATGTACAAAATATGTATGTTGAAAAAATTTCAAATGATCGTCTCAATTTTACCGTTGTAGATTGTTGTACAAGCCACAAGAGGGCGTAGCCATACAGCTGATATATCTGTCGATGATTTTAGCTTTTATAGGTGTACAAATGGTAGGAGACTAATTAAACATAATCATTTTGAATTACGTTTGACTAGAATATATTCAACTCGTCAGTTCACGAACCTTACGAAATGTTGTTATAATTTTGTGTTCCCCTGTAAACTTTGAGGACTAGTGGATTAATTTGAATTGGACTTTAACCTGCACTATCCAAAAGGAAATTCTTATTTTCCATATTTGCATCTTACCTAGGTGGGGTTAATTTGTCATTCTAATTATTTAACTGAACAAAACTATTTCATCGCTTAAAAAAATGAAAATAATCAAAATTGTTAAACATCATTACGTTAGGGATTTCGTTACCACAAATTACTTAAAACCTTTACTAAATTCATCCATAGATATAAAGATTTGGTTTTGAAGTTTGGTTGTACCTGTAGAAAACTTATTTCAAACGGGATAGCACATCCTCATTTTTACGGAGATGTTGTTTACCGAGCCCGTAAATTTAGAAACGATCCTGATAAACTTATCGATCCTTTAAATAAACGTATTCTAAAAGGTTACCAATTCAACACTGTAATTAGATCTTTGAACATTGTTTTTATTGGTATTAATATTGATTTTGTTATCAGTAAATTAAAATGAAACTAAATATTATTTTTATATACATATGCACATGCATGGCTCTACAATCTGTCGATACCTGTATCTTGGCATTGCACAAGGTCATGTTTTTTTCTGATTGTTTATGACGTCTTTACACTAAATCCATTGAAGGCTGGATGTGTACTTTTTAATATTGTAGTCTTGGATTCATGATTTTTTGTATTAGTTGTTATTTGCTTTGAACTAGCTGTCAGTAACTGCGAGTACTCTCATATCTGTACTTAGTGTCTTTTTGTTGTGGGGATGTATAAGTACCCGTCCATTTCCACTCTTTGTTTTTGTTAGATTTTTATTTGTATCCATCTGATGATTTAAGCCTTTTTCAACTGATTTTTATAGTTTGTTCTTATGTTGTACTGTTACACCACTGTCACAGGTTAGTAGAAGGAACGAGTTTAACCCTGCCACATTCTGTATGTGCCTGTCCCTAGTCAGGAGCCTGTAATTTAGTGGTTGTCGTTTGTTGCTGTGTAACATATTTGTTTTTCGTTCATTATTTTGTACATAAATTAGGCCGTTAGTTTTCTCGTTTGAATTGTCATTTCGGGGCCTTTTATAGCTGACTATGCGGTATGGACTTTGTTCATTGTTGAAAGCCGTACGGTGACCTATAGTTGTTAATTTCTGTGTCATTTGGTCTCTTGTGGAGAGTTATCTCATTGGCAATCATACTACATCTTCTTATTTTTATATGATGATTTGAATACATATTAAAACAGAAATATAAAGCTGATCATGCTTGCAAGGCGTTGTGAACTATTTCAACATTTAATGCGCCTTGCAGTCTTTTATCTTCTGATAAGCATGATTATAGTGACAAAAAAGAAGTCTTTACCAACCATATCCTACCAGACATTTGCGGAAACTGTCATACACCTACGATTAGGATTACAATTATGCTTTCAGTAGCATTTAAATCTTGGGTCTCCTAAAAGCGTAAATATAAACCGTCGTTCCAGAACAAATTTTAACTCCTAAGATGAAATAATATAAATAAAATTGAGAATGTACACATTAATTATTGTACATGGAATTCAACATGCTGTTAATATACGGAGTATGATAGAACGGACAAACAACATTTAATAAATTTTATATTAGACATGAATAAAAATCGTATTGTCGTTGGCTAGGTTGCGACTATTAGTAATTAATTTCAAGAAGACTAAGTGTAAAGAAAAGGCGACTAACTAAGGAGCATGTTCACAGTATTTAATGTTTTGCTAAGACATATATTTCCATATTTTTTTAAGAAAGTGAGGGGATACAGAGGTTGGGTGCTTAAGAACTATTAATTTTATGACATTATACGTTCGGTATATATTTATTAACTTTTATTTTTTTCTAAATTGGGCTCACATTTTTGCCCATGTTTTTTATATAAAAAAAGATTAAAAATATACGAAAAAAATACTACATCGTTTGTGTCAAATATATAATTTAAACTTTACGTCAGACTCTGTTGAAATGTAAAATATATGTACTCAGATAATTGGAGTTTTACTATCTATCTATCTTATCAAATTAAACAAGACCATTACCGGGTCTGGACCTGAGTCGAACTTTGACGAAAAATTTCCTTGTGCAATGAAACTTGAAAAATTCCAAACTATCGGAAATAGAAAGTGGCTGCACGGCAGATGTACAAATAGCATATACGCTGCAATTCGCTAATTATTAAGCTGCAGACCAAATATGAAATCATTCTTTTCAATAGAAGCCAGGAAAAATTTGAGGAAAGTTTTTTACGCAAGGTCTTTCGGACGGATGGACGGACGGACGGACAGAGCCGAGCTGAACTGTTACTTGACCTGCTTTCGCCTTCAGCAACGCAGGTAATAATGACTACCGGGATCTGAGTTGTTTGTTTTTGTGCAATTTTTATAGAGATTTTGGGAATCATTTGGGTATAGACGTTTTTTTTTAACGGTGTCGATAATTATTTCTCTCCCATGAGCATGGGTGGGTCAGGTCTGATCGAATCATAAGCAGTAACTAATGATCCGAGACCGCTACAATTTTCTTGGAATTGTACTTTAGGGTGCACTTATGACGGTTACACAAAGTTTATATGCAAAATTATTCCGTTGATTTAAAGGGATAAAAGTTGCAAAGGTATATCAGTCGAGAAGAAACTGTTAAAAATACACAAACTATCTAAGTCAGTTAGACAGCAGTTTCGGATACAAAATGTAATCGTGAAAACTAAGGTCATTGATATTTCAAAAGCATTGTGCTACGACGGGCTTAATAATTATATTGTGTCACTTGCTTATCGCATTTTCCCTTATTTTCAAGTGCATCGTTTGTAGAGTACACCCTGAACGAATTTTTGCTGATTTTGCTATACTTAAATAAGTTTAGACACAATTTTGGAACTATAACAAGAATAGAAGTACTTTGTTTCAAGGGGAACGCGTATTGCTCTCTGCTGTTTTGGTGGGCGACAAAATATATCTGAACTGTCATACAGTATTGACACCTTAAACCAGACAACAGATTGTTCAAAAACCCCAGGATATGCAAAGGAAGTCTAAAAAATTACATAGACTTATTACACACTATAAGGTAAAACTTGAACACGCCTTCGAAGAATTAAAAAATACAAAGTTATTGGGATTTTTTTGTTGACATATTTAATTAAGACATCGATTCAAATCTGTTATGACCATTTGCACTGCATTAGTGCGTCTTCGAAAAGTTTTATCTTAATTAAAAATAATGTTTTGATTTTACTAGGTATCTCTATTGTTGCATTTTTTTTTCAATTTTAAGATGACCCCTGTTTTTCGTCAACTGTAATTGTAAGTCTAAGGGTTATCCTAGGTATAGACGTAGTTTCCGCAAATGTCTACTACTAGTAGCTGATAATAGAAACAAGAAAAAGCAATATGTATGAAAACTGAAAATTAAGCCTTCCGACACCCAAAATGACCGCCTTGCTTGCTTACATAGACGATAATGACTTCTCCATTTAAAATAACATTAGTGTTTAAACAGAATTATTATTTACTTAAAGACATCCATCTTAATCTATTAGATATCCTTAATACCAGATCATTATTTCTCTGTCCTCGTTTTAAACTGAAAAAAAAGTGGATTTTTTGGTCGTTTTCAAAATATTTGATATTCATGCAGTTTTCAAGATTAAATCAGTAAAAATACTCATTACATCATTGTTCTATTGATATCTATTCTATTTGCATGTAAATTTACCAAATATTACTTATTTAATAAAGAAACTTACTGGTTAAAATTTCATCTTTTTTTTCATTTTTAGATACAGATCTTGAGAGTGAAATCTACCATGAAACATCACCACTATTTTCTAAGAACAGTTCCGTAACAGATATAACCCATAAAAACAGTTCATCGAAAGATTTCTTGTTTAATGATACCATTACAGTCAGCATAGAAAACGGTACTGAAGTAATCAGGCTGAGTGATGACAAGATTCGTACTCGTAATACATCAAAGAGAATAAACCCCGATAAAGAAGCCAAACCAGAGCGGCACAGCTTGAGTAGTGTTGAAATAATCGTTCAAAAAGAAAATAGCATTCCTACATCGACAGGTGACAGGGCTGAGCACACCAAAGTTTCAATGACTACAGTTAAGGAAGTTACATTACCCACAAGTTCAGAATTCTTGGTTATGATACCAAAACATGAAGGTGTTGAGTTATCACCTCACATAAAGCCAATTACAGAAAATATTGAAAAAGCAACGGAAAGTTTTGTTATCTATCCAGCAGATATAGGAGATTCGTTTGAAAATGTGGTTGTCACTAAACATAACCGTATTTCTCCTCTAAAAAATTCTGTTCTCACAACGTCCGCATCTCTGCAGGCTGGAACTAATCAAACAATTTTATTTAGACCTGAATTTATAGCAGGTATCGCAGGGGTAGGTTTGATTATTACCCTAGGTGTTGTCCTCGTTTCTATTCTTATTTACAAAAGGAGGAACATTTGGGGACGAAAAACCTCTGATGATCAGGGTCAAGTACTTTACACTAAGAATGTTCAGCAAAATGTGTGATCGTTTGACAAGTTCCATTTATCTAAACATTCCATTAAAAGTTGTGATTTATGAATATTTAAATTATAAAGAAAACAGCATTTACCCTCACACCTTCTAGTATTCATTACTATTTCCCGTAGTCGTATGCTGTCGTCTAATTTGATTCATATCATGACTGTTTTAATGTTTGTAAATCTAATATGACTAGTGAGAAGAGTAACATTCTTTTTGTTTGAAAGTTATTATTTTATTGTTGATTTTATACTTTTATAAAAATAATAAAAAAAAAATTTCAATTCTTTTACTCATGCATATGACCCTGTAATTCAGTGGTTATCGTTTGTTGCTGTATATTATATTTGTTTTTCATTCATTATTTTGTACATAAATCAGTCCGTTAGTTTTTTGTTTGAATTGTTTTTATAGCAAACTATGCGGTAAGGGTTTTCCTCATTGTTGAAGGCTGTACGGTGACCTATAGTTTTTATTTTCTATGTCATTTAGTTTGTTGTGGAGAGTTGTCTCATTGGCAATCACAACACATCTTCTTATTTATATATATAGCCATGGCTGTCATGTTCAATGGTTGTCTTAAGACATATCGTTATTATTTTGCTGATGGTAGATGTAAGATATCTGATAAATTTATGCACTATTTTTCTAGACTCGTGGGCGTGAAGAGTGACATACTGTATAAACAGTGGTCTGTTATTAAAGACGATAGGTGGCTCTAGATGTCTTTTGATTGTTTGTTTTGTTTTGTTTTTTATGTCACGGTTTGTCGTTGGGTCGCTGTCTCTTTTGACGTGTACACAACATCACTTTTATGCATGTCAGCTATGTGTCCTTACAATCTTTTGGATGTGAATGCATATTGTTCCCGATGAAGCTTAATCTAGAAAGGCACATCTGACGGAACAAATTCGATGCGTCTAACTTTGACGTTTGTCCTTCTAAATTCTTATAAAACTACTACGACGAAAGAAATTCCTAGAACGAGCCATTTATAAAGAAAGGTAGTTAAGAAAACTAAAAACTTTTATAGTCAGTATGAGATTGACAAAAAATAATGTATTCTCTCTCTCTAAATCTGTTTCCTTTTTTTTTGTTTCCTCAAAGACATGGGGCTGTTAAAAGAGACTGAGAATGTAACGTATTTAAATGTGATGAGATGTCGACTTAAAAAAGATAGGACTTAGTTTTTTGTCAATTAAATAGGTATACTCGCGTGGTGTAGTGTCACTTAAAAAACAAAATTTGTAAAATTTGCTAAAGGGATTTTATGTTTACATCACCAATCTCAAAGTCCAAGGGTTAATTCTTTTCCGGAAACAGTAATTTCTTTTAAAGTAGTATTACATCGTTATTGAAGGTATTTCCGATATATTATATAATAGATTTAACCGTTCAAGGTTGTTGAAACAAAGAAAATACACTTATCAACTATTATCAAGTTAGAGTACATTACCATCCACTAAACTGTATCGCATCTAACACTGTATGAAAATTTGTTGTTGTTGTTGGGTGCATAATGTCCAAAAGTCATCATTTTGATTATTTCGCTTTGATTAATGTCGTAAAAAAAATTGATATATTTTTATAAAACATGCATGGCAGAAATTACAGTCTTTGGCTAACAATGTATATGCATGCATCTGCGATCCGTCACATTGGTTCCCTTCAATGAAAAATTTAGTGGTGTCCTAAGATAAAAATGGTTCTGCCTCTACTTAAAGTTGTTTACACATTGTAAAATGCACACAGCATGTGATAAGGATAAAGAGTACGTTAGATGGGAAGATTTTTATCTCGAAAACACTATAAAATTTTATTTTTGTATGATTGTCCAGGATAAGACGTTGAAATACATATGCATGTACCCTTTACACTAAGACAGTCCTTTATAAGTAAAGAGCCATATAGATATTACAGTACTTCTTTTTAGATTTATTCATACATGTTTGTATCATTCAAATTTACCAGGCAAAATTTGATACTTAACTTGCCAAAATATATTCTACATAGTTTGATATTTACATCTATACGTAGGGACTACTTTGTTTTAAGTATGTACTTCTCTCCAGTATGCTCTATATCTAGCAATTTTTCCCCATGCCAGTTTTTCTGCCAGGAGAAAAACTGGCATGATCTACTTTTCTCCTAGGGGGAATTTTGAATCATTGCTATTCTTCCCCCGCGGAAAGTTAACAATACGTATACATATAGCCACTTTTCCCCCATGCCCATATTTCAACCACAATATGGATTTCACTATTATATGTATAAACATCAACATTGCACGGCCATTTATTCCATATAGTTTCCAAATTTTCTTAAGATATGATTGATCTCTGGACTGCTAAAATAATCTGTTTTCCGGCTTGGGTTGCATAGAAGAAATGTTAGGTACAAGTTGTGTTCGTTTTAACGACACGCATGTGACTAAGAAGGTATGGGATTTGGGGGTGGGATTGGGCCTAGAATTTATACCAGGGGTGGTGCCGTTTGCATTCGAAAAATTTTTCCCATTCATATATTGACTCTGTCCAAAAATCCGACCTATTCGCATTTAGATTACATGCCAGACACTATTAAGTATGGACTTGTTAAAAAAAAGCCAAACTCTTCGGAGAGAAACGTTTATCCGTTAACAGAGGTAGATTTTTCGTTTAGAAATGGCCCGAGGTTATATCAAATATAAAAGATCTGTCAAAACAATTGATTCAGATCAATGAAACTTTATAAATGAAAGGGATTACACAATAACACAAGCGGTTCATATTCTTATTTATCATTGCTTCCGGCAGTATATGTTACATCGAAGTCACATTACTTATTGATGCAAATATCTTGAAAGGACTTTGCACTTAAATGAAACAAAATTACGGACCTATAAATATACAGGAGACAAACCTTTACACTAAAGGGTGCTAAGAATTTTGCTGTATACCTTTATGAATGTGGAGCTTGAATGCCGACAGAACTATCCCAACAAATACTTAAATTACCTTATCATTCAAAGATAAAAAAAGGACAATGTTTGTCATGATTTATTCAAAACCAAACACCGTTAAACAAGTAGACCTTAATATATTTCTATGATGTCATCAAATTTGACCAACAAGAGTGAGGTTATTAACTATCATATGTTTCAGACATTCCTACAAAAACTGTTACCATCCTGCCACATTCTTTCTTCGTGTGGTTTTCAACTAGAACATGGGTTTGACTATTTGTCCCCATCACGCTAAAGGGTGGTGGGGGGGGGGGCAGTTGGATCATGCCCATTTTTCCAGGGGGGGGGGGGGGGGTAACTGGATCGATCTCCGGAAAAAATGGCATGGGGGAAACTTGGCTATAGGACAACGGACCCGATATGGTGATGTTACATTTTACAAAGTTTACTCGAATTATTTTGCAAAGAATTCCGCTCAAACCGGTTCTAAGCGACGTCTTATTAAACTTGTAGTGAGGTGAGAGTTTTTTGCTCCCTGTTGAATGCTCCATTGTGACTTTGAGATGAAGAACAGCAATTAAAGCACTGTTCCTTTGCTTTTTGTGTGTTTTTTGCTGTGTATGTGCTGATTTTGTGTCATGGATGGATACCCCATATCCTTTGTTTTTCTCGTATATATGCAATAAAAATTACTCACCATACCCTCCAAAATCAAATTGGAGAATTCACTGGAGACCATTAACATCCTTAAATTACAAAACAAAAGAAATGGAAATAGAAATGTATGATAAAGAAAAATCATTTTTGAAATCCTATTATACTATATATTAAACTATTGTATATAGATTTAAGACGGAATGTTTTACGTCCTGGAAAGAAGTACTTGATCGCTGCGAAGAGGAGTAATTGTGAGAAAAAATTACTCCCTGTCAGTTTTTACTTGACATTGGTTCATATCAACTTCTCAATATTTAAGGTCTTATTACTCATGTAAAATCATATTCAAACTGGGTTAGAAATGTAAATATTTGTGTGTTGAAGTAATTTATTTTGTCTCTTCTTGCTAGACTTGTCACAGCGTCAGCGTTTATTTCTTAGCCAAATGAAACTGTAAACGCTCATTAAAGATACCAGGCGTTATACAAGAGTCACAAGAAACGCTCAAAACAAACCAGTAAGATGTCCAAATCAATAACGATTATGAAGAGCACTGACAACACCAAAAAAGATTGTGACAGTATGACTACGGAGTTAAAAAAACTATAAGTGTTTCGAATGATTTCTAAGATTTTATGAGGAATTAATTTACCAAACACTTGTATCAACTGAGATCATCCCCTTTTTTTTGGTGGGATTTGTTTTGCCCAGTCCTTAGTTTTCTATGTTGTGTTTTGTGCACTGTTGTTTGTCTTTTCTTAGGTTTTCGTCTTTTTTTGCCATTGTGTCAGAATATTTCCCACATATCTCTAAGATTCACAGACCGCATCAATCAAAAACAGAACAGTTTTGACTACTGAGTTTTTTTATACCCTCGAGGACGATACGCCTACCAGCAGTGACATCGACTAAGTGGTTTTAAAATGTCACCTGAGATCACCCCCAGGTTCTTGTTGCTCAGTCTTTGGAATTTTGTGTTGTGTTTTTTGCACTGTTGTTTGTCTTTTCTCAGTTTTTCTATTTTTTGCTATGGCATTGTCAGTTTGTTTTCGACTTATGAGTTTGAATGTCCCTTTGGTATCTTTTGCCTCTCCTCTAAGAATCACAGACCGCATCAATCATAGAACACGAACAGAAGTTCTGACTAGCGGGCTATTTATACCCTGGAGGGCGATATGCCTACCACCAGTAACATCGACTAAGTGGTTTTAAAATTTCACCAACGATACCAGGTTTATAAATTAGTAAGCCATACATATACACAAGAATCATCAGTGGTTCTTTAACAGTTGGAAGGCCGAAACAATTACAATTTTATTGAGTATACGATTAGAATAGAGTTTTCATCTCCATTATGCCTTCAAGGACTGACTTAGAAATTGAAAATAACTCATTAACAAACTTTTTTTTTTAAATGGACATAACAAAAGTTTCAAAGCATGTACTTTGACCTATGTCGTAACCATTTTACTGGCCATACAAAAAATAAAATAAAAAAACGATACAAAAGAGAAAAAAAAACAAAGATAATATGGATTATTTACAGTTGCTTCAATCATCATTTACTTTACCACTGTCGTTTGTATATATGTTATTTGATAACCGATGGGCGTTTCTATTTCCGTCCGTAAGAAAACATGCTTTCGAAAGACGAGTTTTCTTAAAGTATACAACTCCAATATATATTCTGAACATCCGATTAAGAATATCTTTCTTAAACTTAATCACGTTGTCGTATAACTGGTTTAATATTTCCACTAGTTTACATTGCATATTTGCATGCATTATGATAC